CTTAACGTCAATGTTTTGCATTCTTTTTCATTACATCATTACATTGATGTATCCCAACCCATATTTTTTATATACAGAGTGGCCCAACGAGAAGTATACAGAGGGCTTTTAGGGTATTAAATTTAGAAATTTCGAAAAATCCTCGAACACGTCAATTTTGTATTCGAGGGGGACAACTCTTGGAATACAAATCACGAACCCAAGTCTTCACCCCTTTACGTAGGGAGCTTAACCCCTAAAATTCTAAATGGAATCCTATGGCAAATGTCACATTATTTGAAAGCCAATTTAATCGTGATTACTAATCTGCTTTGCTTTTTACATTCTGTTGATTCGTTCGCATATAAAAGCATAAACGTAACTCCAAAAACTAATTTAGAAGGCAAAAATCGATCGATCGAAACTCAAAATGGCAACTCCAAATGTCATCTAAATTCTGCGAGATTATCAAAGGCGTCCACGTAGGTTAACGAAGTAACAGAAAGAAAAGAGAATATATCAGGAAATAAAAGCCTAAAAGAATGCTTATTACGGTAACCCTAGGGGAAACAAGACCATTTTTGGTGTACACCAAAAATTCAAATTAATTCTCGTTAATTCAAAATAATTCACGTAAATTCATGTTAATTCACGTTTATTCAAGTTAATTCACGTAAATTCAAATGAATTCATCTTAATTCAACCTAATTTACGTTAATTCAAATTTATTCACGTTATTTCAATTGAATTAACGTTAATTCAAATTAATGTACGTTAATTCAAATTGAATCATGTTAACTCACATTAATTCTCGTTAATTAATTCACGTTAATTCAAATTAATATACAGAGGGGCGTACACCAAATATTCAAAGTTGTTTCTATCTAGAATTTTTCCAAGGCAAATTTTTACCAGGACTAGAGTTTGCGAGTAAAATATTCAAACGGCGCATTTTTTCTGTGGACAAATTTTCCAAGAGCGATTTTATCAATCTTAAATTTTCAGGACGAGAATTTTTCCATTTCAAGGGCGATTTTTTTACGTTTTTGGAGACAAGTTTTCCACGCAAGTTTCCGGGAGCGAGTATTTCAGTGCATAAACTTCCAACGCAAATTTTCAAAGACAGATTTTCCCTGGACAATTTTTTGGGGAGCAAACATTCGAAAGATGATTTTTTCAACATTTTCTGTAGATTTTTCTGGACGAATGTTTCAAGGGCAATTTTTGGAGCCTACATTTTCCGTAGGTAAATTTTTCGGAAGCGAATTTTCCCAGAACAATTTTCCTTGGAGTTTTTGGGAGTTAAATATTTCAATATCGACTTTATTCCGTAGGCGAATTTTCTAGGAAAGAAGTTTTCCAAGAAGAACCCTCACGAAAATTGTTGGGGGTGAAATTTTCACGCAAATATTACGGGAGGAAAATTCGTAGAGGCGAATATTCCCTGTATGAATTTACGGGTTGAATCTTACAGGGAAGAATTTGAAAAGACGATTTTTTCATAGCGAATTTGCCTTGTATATTTTTTTCGGAGGACAAGTCTTTAGGGGTCAAATATTTCAGGGGCGATTTTTAGAGCACATCAAATTGTCTGGAAACGAATTATTCACGCAAGTATTCTCGCTAAGGTAGATTTTTACGAGCCTTTTTTTATGAGAGCGAATTTTCAGAAGAATTCTAAGGGCGATTTTTTTCAGGAATCTGCGTACTTTCGAGAAACGAATTTTCTAAATTTTATCAGGACGAGTGTTTGTGGGTCAAATATATTTCAATGGAGATTTTTTTCGAGACTACATTTTCTGGGTGCAAATTTTTCAGGGCACAGTTTTCCAAGAACGATTTTTTCGTGTTTAAATTTGCAGGACAAGAATTTTTCCATAGCGAATTTTCCCAGGACGAGACGTGTTTTTAATGTGAAATATTCCAAGGGCGATTTTTTCGAAGCTAAATTTCCAGGACAAAAATTTGTTATACAAATTATTACAGGAAAGAATTTTCCGGTGCGTATATCGCCAGGGCGACTTTCTCACGCCTACATTTTCCATAGGGAATTTTCCCAGAAGAAATTTTCCGGGAACCAGTCTTTGAAAATAAAACACAATGGTGATTTTTTCGAGGCTACATTTTCAGGACGAGAATTTTTCTATAGCGAATATCTCCAGTGAGGAACTTTTCCGGGAACAAGCCTTTAGGGATGAAATATTCCAAGGGCGATTTTTTAAGCTAGACCAAATTTTCTGAAGATTTACAAGAGCAATTTTTTCAGAAATCGATGGTTTTTTAGAAACGAATGTTTCTCAAGGGGGAACAAGTACCATTTTTGGTTTCACGTTAATTCATGGTAATTCACCTTAATTCAAATTAATTCACGTTAATTCAAATTAATTCACGCTCATTAACGAATTATTCACGCAAGTATCCTAGCGATTTTTCCTAGCGAATTTTCAGGAGATTTTTAAGGGCGATTTTTTTACAGGCATCGGCGTATTTTCGAGAAACGAATTTTCCAAAGTTTATCAGGACGAGTGTTTGTGGGTGAAATATTCCAACGGAGATTTTTCCGAGACTAAAGTTTCTGCGGGCAAATTTTTAATTGAAAAGTTTTCCAAGGACGATTTATTCGTGTTTAAATTTTCTGAAGCGAATTTTCTGGGGATTTACAAGGGAACTTTTTTCAGGACTCGATGATTTTTTAGAAACGAATTTTTCTTAAGGGGAACAAGTACCATTTTTGGTGTACACCAAACATTCAAATTCACATTAATTCTCGTTAATTCACGTAAATTCAAATTAATTCACGCTCATTCAAATTAGTTCACGTTAATTCGAATTAATTCAAATTAATTCACGTTAATTCAAATTAATTCACGTTAATTCACATTAATTGTAATTAATTCTGGATAATTCAAATTAATTCGGAGGGGTGTTTCCCCCCTAGCGGTAACCTCTACGGAGGTTCTCCAGTGCACAGGTCATGATGGCTAACACTGAAACACCTGCCTGAAACACGGTGGTATGCTGACCAAGGGAAAAACTGATGCCAGCTTTCCGTCGGTCATACAGTGACTCTTCTGAAAGACGCATAAATTTATGCAGCCAAAATAACATGCGCGCGCATTTTGCACTATCATTCTATAAAAACGACAGTAAATAGTATACGTTAGGTTATGATGAAAATATATTAAATCGGCCGCTAGGTATTTCCCTTAAGTTTCTTATGGGATTTTCTTCCACAAAAATTAAAACATCCTCCATTAAAATTGAGGGTTGTTTACGGTATCTTATGTGGATCATATTTAAACAACCACTAATTTTGAAGTAATAAACACAGAAAACTTAAACTGTTACCGACACTATACCAATTGACAAGATCAACTTTTTCTTAAGGTAAATACATTGGACACGAACGAAAATTAAAAAAAGCGGAGACCAAAGCAGTAATATACCAATTAATTAATATGACAGCCAGATCTTCATTTGTTTTAAGAGGTTATTTTGGTTGCATAAAATTAGGCGTCCTTCAGAAGCATTTTTGTCATTTAAAACAGTACACAAATCCCTTTGTCTACTTCTAAATGAATGTTGCTGTATATACCGATGCCCGGTCCATTTCTCGTTTGGACCCGTCTGTAAACCACACGAGTCCCTCGGGTTTAAGGAACGGGCAGTCTGCAAGGCTACCTCCATCTTTGTACTCGTCTCAATCGTTTAGCCGTATGGAATCCTTCCAACCCTCTGCCTCCACAGGTAAATGTAAACTGCCTCCGTTGCCAAAGTTGGCTTGGTTTTCATGGCTCCAGTGATCCCCATACAGAGGAGTCTCTGAATCAACTCTGCGGACCACCATGCAAGTACACCGTACAGTATTATTGGCCTTATCACTACAGTGTAAAGCCCCTGGTAAAGCCAATATACCATAGTCGAGGATTCAAGTCCCCCAAAAGCCTTTCCACATGCCAAGTGGCCTTTTTGCTTATTCGCTCAATTTGCCCTTTCCAGGTCAGGTAGGAGTCTATGATAATTCTCAAGACCTCGTCAGACCCATTTGACGTCTTCGAAGAGTGGCCGTTCTATTTCTCGTAAATGGAACAAGTTAGGTCTTTTCCGGGTTAACGGTGCACCTCCTATCCACCTGTTTAAGAGCTCTTTCACGATGCTTGGAGACTTTTCAGTCGCATCACCGTGTATACGCTTCGTCCTCGTTCAGAATGCGGACATCCTCTAGTAACCGATGAGCTTATCTGAACCCTGCTTCCGGACATGGTGCGAATCCATCTTATGATTGATCCATAAATGCCAAAGCAGCCTCGTTAATGGAATCAAACGTGGTGTTAAACGAACCTTCGTTATCTGAAACGCTTCCAGGGCTACCCCCTATCCAGCCTGCACACGACGCTGTGAAGAGCCGTCTCCGTGGCCTTACCAGCCCTGTACGCATGTTGGAATGGATGTAGTGGTCTAGGGACCAGTACCCCGTTCCTTATGTATGCATCCACCGTTTTTCGATTTATTATACCATGGAAGATTATAGGCTGATGGGCTTGTAATCCTTCGCCATGACTTATTTGGCACGACCCGGCTTAGACAGGTACTCAACCCTTACCTTTCTCCAGCTTTCGGTGATATTTCCTAAAGCCATGGAGGCTGTAAGGTACAACTAATGTAAGAAAAGTGGTTCCAGGCTCTTCTGCAGAAAAGCCGGTGATATTCCGTCCGGTCCTGCACTTTTAAATGGGCCGAACGCGCCCATTTCGGAGATCCCTCGGTGGCAACCACCCTATCAGCTACTCATAACTGCCCATCCATCTTACATCTGTTTATAAGACCAGACTAAGATCCTCTCTATTTATTCCCCGAAATATACTGGTTATCCTTGAGTTTCCCAGTGAGCTAAATTTTTGCAAACAGGTGGATCAAATTTGTAGGTACCATTGTACCACACGCGTGTAAAAAGTACAGTTGTCACTATTTTTATGATTTTGGTTGATCAAGCAATCCTGACCGTAAGAATTTTGTTTCAGTCAACACCTTGCAAGCATCCTGTGATAGTCCTGCAAGATGTGGCTTGGACAGACCTGCACGCCTTGGTTGAATTCATATACCATGGGGAAGTTAACGTGCATCAGCGTTCTCTATCATCATTCCTCAAAACAGCAGAAGTCCTTCGAGTCAGCGGTCTCACCCAGCAACAGCACGGTGACGATCGAGAGCAGGTAAGGCACTTGGTAGATCTTAGATATTATAGTGGGGGTGTATCATTTATTTATTCTGTACACCAAGAAGTGTATGACTAAGCAGTTGGTTATTTAAGGTTGTTTTGTCTTAGTTGGCACAAGTACAAAGTTTGGTACGGTCACAGCAACAGCCTACGCCAATACCTAACCACCATCCGGCATTTACCGAAAAGTTAGTAGAAGATGCGCTCTTTACCTCCCCGTCATCACCTCCGCATGGTGCTACAGTAAATCAACTTTTACGTCGCGCTGCCTTGCAGCATCGCCGCGAACGACGCATATCATCCGATCCGGAAAACGAACTAAAACGGGCAAGATCAGACCTTATACTCGGTAATAATAATAACAACAATAACAATAATAACGAACTGCACCTCTCACATTCGGCACCCCCACAAACTCAACCGGCAGATTTTTCACCTAGTGCAATGAAAAATAGTATACTCAATTTAAATACAAATATCACATCAAATTCGCTTCTTAACTCGACGCATAAAAACGATAGTGAAGGAAACGGGATTAGTAGTACGGACAGGGAGCACTCGCCGTGCTCCCCGTCGCCAACGCACAACAATCGTATGAATAATAACGACGAAGTCAAAGCCGAACCCATGGAACTTTTATGTAGTACAAATCAGGATCAGGACAATAGTAACGATTCAGTGGACGCACCTAACGATAACGGGCCTAGCAGCAACATGCCACAGGGACCTCTCTCGGGAAGTTCGGGCGGGGACCACGACGACCACGACAGCCCAATAGGACCCTATCTCACACCCTCCGAAAGTAAACTTTTCGCGACGGCGGCCGGTAGCTTTAATTTTAGTATGGCGGCGTTAGCGGCGGACCCATCGGCTCTTGGAGGTTAGTATCATATCCCCCGTACCGTCCTCCCAAAAAAAAACGAGAGCTTTTCTGTTTTTACTTGTGTTTTGCTTAAATAAATCGTTTATTAAAGCTTGACTAGTGCAGGTAAGCGACGTTGCATGTGTGTGTAACTGTATAGTAAAAGCAGAAGTGAGCTTTTCTTGTGATTTTTTTTTGAATTTCACGTAGACTAAGGCATGTCTTCAGTTTTGTGCAGTTAACTTTGGGTTAACTGCGTTTTAATCTAGTTTTTTTGCTCCCAGGTCTAAATCAATCACTTCAGCCAAACGCGGACAGTTTAGCCGGCACTTCGCAAGGTAAGCGTTTTCAAAAATTCATACACTTTGGATAATGGGAAAAATGAACAGGCTCCGTTTTTTTGATTTAATCCTGTACATTTTTTCTTTGCGCATTATTGAGTTTTTATTTTTCGACGCCGTTCCGGGCGTTTTTTTAATTTGCTAAAAATTCAATAATTTTTTGCCTCTGTCAAGTTTCTTGTGGAGGTCCTACAGTTGATTGGGTGCCGAGGTAACCGTTACGGAACCCTTGCAGTCATCGATGCTATTTGAAGGTAACGGATACTTGGGCATAAAGAAAAACTTCCAAACCGAGCTCATTTCATCACCCATTGCAAATCGGTCTCGAAGGTGAAGTTTTTCTTTGTTTTTAAACTAATATGTCTCGTGTTCGGAATGTTTAACATCGTGTTTTGTGTGTGTTCGTTCAGTTGTCCCTGGTCTGTTTTTGTGCTGTTGATTAATTTACATATATTTTTTTTAATTTGGGGAAGCCAATTTAAGATGAATCATTTTATGGATTAAGTAGTGTATTTTGTTTATTTACAAGGTAATCGATCACAATGTATCCACTAGGCTTAGTTTAGTTAATTTAATTTTTTAAGATCGTTTTACTGTGAGAGCTTTATATGTTCAAGCAAATTTTGTTTATACATTGTTTTACCTTTGACAATTTTCGCATAGGTTTTGAATTTTGAAACCATCGAACATTCATGAGTAGAACCACAGCAAAGATACACAAACCGATTAACAATGTGAGAAGTTCACGATGTTGGCAGAAAACAGTAGAAGCTCTGACTAATTTAACCAACTTTTGAGCTTTTGATCAACCAATTTGATAAGCAAAAGCTCAAAAATGGGCGAACCACGAGAGGGAAATTTTAACCACTAAAAGAACACGTATTTTTATTGACCAATCCAAACGTATTAATCCATTTGTTATTTTTTGAGATATCATCTACCAAATGACAGACAGACGGTCGTACGTTTCTTTAGAAAAATTTGGGTCGTGAACTTACGATTGAGAATGGTACCGGTGAAAAGCTCGGAAAGAAGGAAACTCATTACACTATTGCCCCCTACTGATTGTGCCGACTTCCTATAGTACGGGTGAAAAGTTCCCCCCCCCCCCCTTCTTTCGCTAGTGTTATGTACTTCAAATTCAATTTGACGACGTAAAAACAGTGAGCCGATCTGCTTTGCTCAGTTAGTAATTCTAACTTCGGTTACAAGGGTCCTGGGTTCAATGCCCAGGGAAGGCATGATTATTTCGACACATTAGCTCAGATTTGGTTTGAAAGAAGTAGAAGAAGCTAAAGGGAGGGGGGGGGGCGCATACAATAGATCAGCGAAAAATTAGAATTAATTATACGTAAACAGTTTCTAATTAACTCTAATTCATGTAGAAAATTAAATTAATTCATGTAGAAAATTAAATTCGAGGGATTCGTCCAATTTGCCCCGGAAATGCAGATAATTTAATTAGGGAAAAGTTAATTACATCGGCTGGGATTGAATCCAAAATCAAACTCCACTATAAGTTTAAGATTCGTACTGAACAAAATGGACTCTAAAATATCTCTGGTAATTTTGATATAGTTCAATAGATGAGGTGGGGGGGGGGTGTTATTATCAATTTAATAATAATCAGACCTGTCTTAGAAACCATCACGTTCTCATAATCATCGAGAATCTGCATTCGTTCAAATGATCTTCGCTGCCCATACTACCATTTAATTAGGGAAAGTTAATTACATCGGGGGGGGGGGGGGGAATTGGGACCCCCATCCCCCGAAAAATTTTTAGATTCCTACTGAANGGGGGGGGGGGGGGGGGGCGAATTGAGACTCCCATCCCACGAATAATTTTTAGATTCCTACTGACAACAACGGATTCTAAATTTTATATCGTGTTATCAGGAGCTGGTAGATGGCGTGGTAGTTTTAATACGAGAAAGGAAGGAGGAGGGGGCATTATCAACAGAGTCACTTAATATAATTATAATTAGAACTGTCACATGCTCGTAATCTTTTCATCTCTTAGCCGTGGAGAAGGAGAGAGCATCGATAAATTAACAAGTGGACACTCTTGTGAAAGAACGTAGAGAACTGGGGGCTCTGGGAAGTACGGAATGCCCCCAACATGTACGCATCTTTGATTACCATGATGTTGATAAGGGAAATAGAGATCGAGTCTTTTTTTGTTGAGGGTACTTCTTGGCTGGGGGATATTCCATACCCCTCAGAACCCCGGTGTTATGTTCTTCTCCGTGAACTCATACGAAAGTTTGTAACAAAACGTCATCAAACCTTGCAACATCATCCTGTGGTGTATGGAATACTCTAAAAGTCTACAGGAAGGGAAAAAAAGGTAGTGGGGGGGGGGGGGGGGAGATGAAAAATCCACTAGCTTATACGAAGCTTCGATTACCTTTTTCTTAAGGGAAATAGAGATCTTCTCTTTATTTTTTTTAGAGTACTTGACTTGACATTCTAGAGACGCAGTTTCGGCAATCTCGGAAGAGCAGTAGGGGTGGAATTTTGTGGTTTTTATATATGAGCGAATTTTTGCAAGGGAAAATATTCGGGCGACGGACTAGGGTGCGAAAATTCTCCTTCCAGCCCTGTTTTTCATCGAAAAAACGTCACATTAAAAGATATTCCCGTTTTCTTACTGCCTTTTGGATTTTTTCAGCGATTCTCTCTATTCTTCAATCGTTATCCCTGTGCCCTTTCGTTGAGAAAGGGTTGAACTTTCGATAGCGAATATTCCAAGGGTGAAGTGAAGTACAACGTGACCAAAAAGCATTAGGGTTAAAATGCTTCGGTTCGCCGGCGAATTTGGTGTAATATTTACGGTTTATTAACGAGCGCCCCAGCTCGATCATGATTTGGGACGTCCTGTCCGTCCGTTCGTCCGTCTGTGTACATGATAACTCGTGAACAGTTTCGAATTTTTCAATTCTCTTTTCAGTAATAGGTAGACAATGGTCAAGGGATTCATTGCTGAAATTTTGGTAATTTGGACTTTCTGTCCATCCGTCTGTGTACATGATATCTCGTGAACAGTTTCGAATTTTCCTATTCTGTTTTCAGTAATAGGTAGACAATGGTCAAGGGTATAATTGCTTAAATTTTGGTAATTTGAACTTTCTGTCTGTCCGTCTGTGTGTATGATAACTCGTGAACGGTTTAGAATTTTTCATTTTCAGTAATAGGTAGACAATGGTCAGGGGATTAATTGCTTACATTTTGGTAATTTGGACTTCCTGTCCGTCCGTCTGTGTGTATGGTAACTCTCGAACGGTTTCGAATTTTTAAATTCTGTTTTCAGTAATAGGTAGACAATGGCCAAGGGATTAATTGATTAAATTCTGGTAATTTGGACTTTCTGTCCGTCCGTCTGGGTGTATGATAACTCGTGAACGGTTTCGAATTTTCCAATTCTGTTTTCAGTAATAGGTAGACAATGGTCAAGCGATTCATTGTTTAAATTTTGGTAGTTTGGACTTTCTGTCTGTCCGTTTGTGTGTATGGTAACTCGTGAACGGTTTTGAATTTTCCAGTTCTGTTTTCAGTAATAGGTAGACAATGCTCAAGGGACTAACTGAGTAAATGACTTGTCGCACGTTGTCTATATTGGTTTGAAACAGTTTATTAGCGTTCGCACTATCAATCGAGTTACACCAATATCGCGCAAAGTTTCCACATGCAGATCAGGATGCGTCTGATCGAATAAATTCACATAAATTCGTGCACTTAAACAGAAAACACCACTAATTGGCACTTTATTATTAATGCATAAAATTAAACAAAAATGGTTTCACCCTTCATTAAAAAAGGGGAACGAATTCGACTACGGCCACGTAGGGTTCGCGCAAAATGCTTTTGCTACGGGAGGGAAACCTCCCTCGGGCTACCCCCAGAGTACGTGTCTACCGAGGCGTCTGCATACAGATACATTTACATTATTTTTCTGAGCTCGCTCGTTCGACTGTTCTTAAAAGTATAGATAAGTAAAATAAAATTAAATACATTGATCTAGGTAGTAGATTCATGTGCCATATACAGTAACACGCGAAATAAACGTACCTATGAATATGTAAATTCGGGCCGGGGACACTTCTGTAAAGGGAATTTGATTGAAAAAAAAAATTAAGATCGTATTCATGGGTAAAATGATGTACAAACATTCCATCATTCATCTCTGCTTGGACACTTGCAGCTTCTTGTAATTGAACGTTAGCCGAACGACGTAATTGTCAAGTTTCTGAAATAGCTTTCCCAAGATTCCACCCCTGAATAATAATGGCCCAATTTATGCCTTACGCAATGAAATGGCTTGAAGAGACCAAAACCCTTGCCTGGCCGTCCCTGAGATGTTTGAACGTATAAAGCTCGTTTCAGATATTGTAACGGTGGTTGGCCACTATTAATAAATTGATCTGTAACTTTCACTTCAATACGAAAGCGAGGACGCGAAGAAATTCCACCCGTAGATTTCCCGGACCCAAGGAATTGCGGAGAAAGAAAATTGACGCGTGCAAGTATCGCTGAAATTTGCTGTGGGAATTATTCGAGATAAACTTACGCTTGAATAGTTTTCACGGTGTCATTAGAAATAGAAGTATTTTTAAAGTTTTTGAAGTAGTACTCTTTGCCTAATCTAAAACAGTGTAGGACTTACGGCTCATAGTCAAAAATTTGTTTGTTACCGTCGTGTTGCGATGTGCGTTTTGCTTAAGCATAGAATCGGCTGCTTGGCGCTTGTACGAAACTGAATTGAGCAAGAACCGACCAAGAACGACTTTGAGTACTAGAAAACTTTAAAACTACTCGTTTAATTATCGAACACACTATTTCGTAAATTGCCGTTTTGTGACGTTGGTTTTGGGGGTGTGTAAATAGCTTTGACGTGTGCGGCTAAAAGAGGCTAATAGGCCCTTTCTGCCGCCAGGTGTGGATGACTTCCGCTGCCAACCCTGCAACAAAAGCCTGTCTTCCCTTACGCGACTCAAGAGACATATACAGAATGTTCACATGAGACCGTCCCGAGAACCCGTATGCAACATATGTAAACGAGTTTACAGTAGCCTGAACTCCTTACGCAATCACAAAAGTATTTATCATCGTAACATCAAGAACATTAAGACTGACGATATGATTCCGCCATACTCTTTTTATTAGTCGAAGGAAAGGAAACCACTGCAATACGTCCATGATGTGCTTAATAATTTTTTGGGTTGTTCCTAGTTCTTATTGTTTCAATATAGTTTTTATCATTTGTTGATTGCCTAAAGTGGAGTGGGCGATAGTGCCTACTTTGATAGTTTTATAAACGTACAAATAACTTTGTTAGTGTATATTATATTTATTTTATTAAGTAGTTTTTTTTTTGTGTATACAGTGTAAAGAAATTTGTTTTGCATGCCTTTGGATTGTAGGTAAAGTCAAGTCGACCAAAGATTTGATTGATTTGCACTGTATGCCCGGTACCTATCTACTGCCATGTTAAATATTTAAACATAATGAATTTGTCGCTCCAAGTCCTTCCACATTAGTCTTGAGCGAAACTGCTTCGAAAATAATCCAAATTGCTAGGGAATAAAGGGTTCTAAACAAATTATATTATATATTATCATATTTGTAAGACATGCTTGACTAAATTAAAGCGGGGGCCTAATTGGTGTTATGTGTTCCCGGTGGACAGCCCGAAGACTGAGCCTTCCGCTTCCCTTGATGGCCACCCATCGCTGTGATGTCTGCGGTAAACTGCTCAGCACGAAACTCACACTGAAACGGCATAAGGAGCAGCAGCATCTTCAGCCTCTCAACAACGCAGTGTGCACTCTCTGCAATAAAGTGTTCCGGACTTTAAATTCGTTAAATAACCACCGAAGCATCTACCATCGGAGACAAAAACAGTAATTTAGCTTTTATACGTATAACTTTTTCAAAATTCTTGGCTACCCACGTTACGCCCCCGCTGTAATTTGCAAAATTAACTTGTCAAGCTGTCTGCTACACACGAAAGTATATTTAATTACTAGATTATTTAATACCTATACTATAGTTGTACGTACAGTGATTGTCAAGTCTTTATTGTTACGCAATATTCTTTCATTTGGCACTGTGATATTTGTATTTAGTTCAATATTCTAAACGTTTGTTTTCGCTATTACGTAACAATAAAAATGCGCGCAATCGCTTTTGGTAAGCCTGCAAATCAAATTTAGAGTATAATATACAAATACCTAATAATAAGCGGTGAAAGGGATTCTTCCATTTATAAAATAGAGTATATCTTTTCTTTACTACTTCATATATTTTATAAATTATTTTAAATTATTGTATAGAGAGAACAGGACTTTTCTTATTAAAAGACTGAAATTAAAATTTGTTAAAATCGCGCGGAGGCGTGCGGATATTTTTTATATTTTTATAAGGGTGTGCAATTCAGTTTTTCCGAGGGGAAATATCTGCGGGCCTTCGCGGGATTGGCTAGTTGTTATTTCTTAGATCTTTGAAGTGAAAAAAAAGCAACAAAAGAGCTAGAGTAGTTGCGAGTGTATTTGTTAAGACTGAGCTTATTTGATTTTTGGACTGATTCGGTAAGAGATTGGCAACCCCTTTTTTATTAATTCGTCCTGTGTAGTTATTAGTTATAGTTTGCATTGCGCATGTTCATGTTGTTTGATGCAATATTATATTTTATGTACTGTTGTATAACCTTTATTTATGTTTAAATATATTTTTACATTGGCAACGTAGCTTGAGTTTTATTTTGCTTGTTACGGAGCCTCCCCCACTGACCCCAACTGTTCACACACAAGTGTTGCCACCAGGAGATGCAGCCCTGTGTGTAGTTAGGTATGTGGGGCGGGCTCGGTGTCTGCACCCGCCCCACTAGATATCGGGCAGGTACATGATGCGACGGCGGCGGTGGGCCGGGGCCGCGGCCGCGCGTCCGGATTCTGCTGGTGGCAACACGCTCGGAATGGACCATAGCGAGCTTGGTTTTGCTGTTGCAGGGGCATCTCCGAAGAAGGTGTTCACGTGTCAGCTCTGTGGTAAGATGTTGTGCTCAAAAGCCTCCCTGAAGCGCCACATCGCGGACAAGCACGCCGAACGGCAAGAAGAGTACCGTTGCGTCATCTGCGAACGCGTGTACTGCTCCCGGAACTCGCTCATGACGCACATCTACACGTACCACAAGTCGCGGCCCGGAGACATCGACATAAAATTCTTTTAGCCTCCCCGCCTCCCAGGTACCTATCCCGCTCGCTTGTTATCTTGAGTTGCTTCTGTGTGGGTTGCTGGCATGTGGTGTAGGGCGCGCGGGCCCCATCTGTACGCTGGCTGTTGCAGGCGCCGTCGTGCGGATGCCCCCGCCTACATCGGGAGGCATCAACGAGCCACAGGAGTGCCCTTACTGCCGTCGAACCTTCAGCTGCTACTATTCGCTCAAACGACACTTCCAAGATAAGCACGAGCAATCGGATACGCTGTACGTGTGCGAGTTCTGCCATCGACGTTACCGCACCAAGAACTCGCTGACCACGCACAAGAGTCTGCAGCACCGCGGATCCAGCGGTATGCTCAAACGACTGCTCAAGACATCGGCCATCAAGAGCGTGCTGGGGCCGCAGCCCCCGCCACCACCGCAACCGCCACGTCTGCTCTGACCGCCGTCGCCGCCATGCTCTCGCCCGCCGGCCTAATGCTCAGCCTACTACTTCATTCAGGTCTCAGTGCTCCAACCACAAGTACAAAAGCTCAGAGTATATTCTATATTAAGAGAGATGATAATGTAATTTTTAATCTTTACACATAGGTTATCTCATGTCGAAATTATACATATACAAAACGAGAAAAAAATAGTTAGTCAGTGGTGTACAATCGAAGCAGTGTAACATATCTATCGATTAATCATCCATATCAAGTGTGACGTTAAGTCATATTTTGTATACAAATCTCTTACACATAATGATGCATCATGTGATCTGCCCGAGTTGCGACATTCCCATAGTGTTACTGTGATTTGGTTACTTCCCATCATATCCTTCCTTCGTCTTTAATCACTCTTCACAGGTTTCTTTTTTTCACTAAACGGACCACCTTCCTCGCGAACATCTCGTTTTTCGTTCCAGACAAACTTGAAGCTTTTAATAATGACATGTCAATTACCATTCCCAAAAAAAAATTGTTACTGTTACACTGAGCGAGGTGTTCCGTTTCGACCGCATATTTTAATTATAACTTGAAAGTAGGTAGGATGCCTACTGGCGGAAAAATGGGACAAGTACGACGATGAAAAAAAAATTAATGTTCACCTGTACGTTTTTGAATTACTTATTTAAAAAATCTGTGCTAGTGTAGCAGGTTAACTGTGAGTTTCCACAAGTACATATCTTTCCAGGGTTCAATTGTTGTAAATAATCATGTGCCAATCTCGATTGCGTTTGTTTTTATTATTATATTATTGTATAATGGTCGGAGATTGATGTTATCTGTTATTGATTACAGACGAAATGCTTTTACTTTCAGGTAATGAAACTGTTTAGCATTGGGAGGGAACGTGGTGCCAAATTTTCAAAAAAAAAAAACCTGAAAGTTGTATATTTTTTCAATTCGATTAATGTTTTTTGACTTCTAGGTGAAAGTGTTTTTCATAACTTGAAAGTGAAAGTAAATGTAAAGTGTTTTTTAAATTAAGAATTAGATCTGAAATAAGGCACGATATGTGATTTTTGGCCCCTAGTAAGTACACACATATTGGACTGGTATCTTTAGTGCTGTGACTTCGAAAATTATGTCTGATTAGAATTTAAAATTTATTTATTTGATTTGATTTATTTGTGATAATAATCGAACCAAAGACTTTTGTTTAAAATTAGTATACCTAAAATAAATTTAGTTAGTTTTTAGAAATTTGAAAATTCAAAAAAGTATTTTTTTAACATCGTGCCATAATTTTTGAACGACATTAAAATGTCAATATCGTTATGGTCGATAATCGTCTGGATTTGTGTAGGTGTAAGAGTTCATGAATGTCGATGGTCTGTTAAGTATCTTGCATATCTGTTCATGCCAATACTTATTGCGATAATATAAATTTAAATTATATATATTTGAAATATAAAATTAACAGTATTAAAATTTGTACCTAAAGGTAGTGGTTTAGATATTTTATAAAATTATGAAATTATATACGTTTTAAAGTTTATCTTTCTAAAAATTGATATTTGGTCTGTATGTACAAATCGTAGATTTTGTTACTGAAAGCGACTACGTTTGGCGTGACATAGAGTAGTTGATTGTTTTGTATAGTTGTATTATATAGACACAGTAGAGCACATATAAAGTCAACTTCTGTTAATAGTCACAGTTTTTTTACCACAGAATAACCAACTTTCATTTGCACCCCAATTTAAAGCACTTCCTAAAATTCAATTTTAAGACTTAGAATTACACCACTGACCCTGTACATTCAATGATTCTGGCGCATCTTAAAAGAAGTTGACTTTATGCAAACACAGGTTTAGAATTCAGTCCACACTGCCTCTGTGCGTTATCATAAAAAAAACATTTGCACTGGTTCAGATCCCTCATATGCAACAAAGATGCCTTGATACAGTACAACACAAGCCATTTTTTTAAACTACAAGTGTCTGCAAAAAAATTACTGTTATACCTCAATACTCAGAAAACCCACAGATGTACTTATATTGTATTGTAGTAGTTATTAGAATTTAAAAAAAAAAACGTGAAACGTTAGGTTTTTAGATCAAACTTATTTTTACTATTATACGATATTCCCTTGTTTTTGTTTAGTTTATTTTTTGAAAAATACCGAAGGGCGTAAAAACAACGGAATATCGACTAGAACAATGTATATTTTCAATAATTAGTTAATCAACTTTGGTTATAAGGGCTCATTTCCATTGTACATAGTTCACACGTCGCACTGCTAAGAGCTTGCGGGGAATTTTCATTTAACTGCTCCGAGTATACAAATGCTTCCATGTTACTTTTAAGAATAATTTTTATTTAAATTTTATTACTTACTACATTTCATTTTTGTTATTTAAACTTACGAATATTATTAAGATATGATTGTTGGTGTAATAAAATTATTAAAAGAAATTACTCCTTTTTATCTAAGTCGTTTTTAACGTAGTACATCTCCATTGAAATCACATACAGAGGAAAGTATAAGCACTTTTGTTGCAAGGAAATGTTGACTGAACAAATTCAAGATATTTCAAAGGGAAGAGAACTAGAGTCTTGGAATCATCCCGTTTTATTAGGATGATTTTTCAACAGGATCGACTCGCAACACAAAAAACATCAAGAATACAATTCCGTAGGTAAGTACCACTAACTTGAAAAAATGCACTGGTAAGAATATAACATGACTGGAAGCTTCAACAAGTTGCATGTGTATTAATAAAGATTGCAGGATCTTCAAGTATGCAATTGAAACTGACTAATGGTAAGTAAAAACGAACACTTAAAAGAAAAAAAATATATATTTCATGCATTTAGGGTTGTTAGTCAACCCCTTAAACCATCAGCGTAAGGTAGAAAACCCATGTTTTGCCTTGGAAAAGTGCTAAGAAAGAATTTTCATAAAAACAAAATAGTGGATTAGATTATTATAATTATGTACCTATGTAGGGTTGCCAGTTGTACCCTTTTAGCGTAATCCACAACTACAACATTTGAAGCTCTGCAAAGTGCACATAAAAAATAAGTAAAATCTTCTAGGGGTTGATTTATTATAATTATGTGTGTGGGGTTTGTTGAACCCTTTAAGTGTAATCAAAGAACTAAAATATTTGAAGCTACGTGTAAGATGCATAACCCATGCCTTGCATAAGAGAAATTTTTACTTTTGGGAAATAGCTCGAAGCTTAACAGCATCCTCATCATACAGAAGAGAATGCTACAAACAATTTGGTACAAATCTTACGGTTATTCAAGTAGACAGTTGTTCAAATACTTTCAGTGCTCTCCGGTTACATTTTACAGTGCGCGATCTATGGTCGTAAAAATAAAATTAACCCCTCCAACAGTAAGCACGACAATATCACAAAAATATGTGAGGCGCAGCGGATGTTACACCCCAACAAAAGAGGTGATTGTACGAAATAATGTCGAATTTTCCCTTAAAAATCGTTAATTTAATAAGAACGAGAAAGATCTCTTTCATACGGAATTATTAGGGTTGCTAGTAACCCTTTTGAGTATAATCGTTCAATATCACAAAAATATGTGAGGCGCAGCAGATGTTACACCCCTCCAAAAGAGGTGGTTGAACGAAATAATGTCGAATTTTCCCTTAAAAATCGCTAATTTAATAAGAACGAGAAAGATCTCTTTCATTCGGAATTATTAGGGTTGCTAGTAACCCTTTTGAGTATAATCGTTCAATGTCACAAAAATATGTGAGGCGCTGTAGATGTTACACCCCTCCAAAAGAGGTGGTTGAACGAAATAATGTCGAATTTTCCCTTAAAAATCGCTAATTTAATAAGAACGAGAAAGATCTCTTTCATACGGAATTATTAGGGTTGCTAGTAACCCTTTTGAGTATAATCGTTCAATGTCACAAAAATATGTGAGGCGCAGCAGATGTTACACCCCTCCAAAAGAGGTGGTTGAACGAAATAATGTCGAATTTTCCCTTAAAAATCGCTAATTTAATAAGAACGAGAAAGATCTCTTTCATACGGAATTATTAGGGTTGCTAGTAACCCTTTTGAGTATAATCGTTCAATGTCACAAAAATATGTGAGGCGCAGCAGATGTTACACCCCTCCAAAAGATATCTCTTTCATACGGAATTATTAGGGTTGCTAGTAACCCTTTTGAGTATAATCGTTCAATGTCACAAAAATATGTGAGGCGCAGCAGATGTTACACCCCTCCAAAAGAGGTGGTTGAACGAAATAATGTCGAATTTTCCCTTAAAAATCGCTAATTTAACGAGAAAGATCTCTTTCATACGGAATTATTAGGGTTGCTAGTAACCCTTTTGAGTGTAATCTTTCAATGTCACAAAAATATGTGAGGCGCAGCGGATGTTACACCCCTCTAAAAGGGGTGATTGAACGAAATAATGTCGAATTTTCCCTTAAAAAATCCGTAATTTAATAAGAACGAGAAAGATCTCTTTCATACGGAATTATTAGGGTTGCTAGTAACCCTTTTGAGTATAATCTTTCAATGTCACAAAAATATGTGAGGCGCAGCGGATGTTACACCCCTCTAAAAGGGGTGATTGAACGAAATAATGTCGAATTTTCCCTAAAAAAATCCGTAATTTAATAAGAACGAGAAAGATCTCTTTCATACGGAATTATTAGGGTTGCTAGTAACCCTTTCGAGTATAATCTTTCAATGTCACAAAAATATGTGAGGCGCAGCGGATGTTATACCCCTCCAAAGAATGTGATTGTACCAAATAATGTCGAATTTTCCTTTGTAATTTAATAAGAACGAGGAAGGTCTGTTTCATACGGAATTATAGGGTTGCTAGTGACCCTTTTGAGCATAATCGGTCAACGTTGCATACAATAGGTACGTGGCGATATCTTTCTGACTTACATGAAACTTAGGAACTGAACGAATAAAATCATCATTTATTGCATCAATGCTCAAGAAGAGTTAATGTATGGATGGTATAGCGTTGCAAGTCCAACCCTTAATTATTATAGGTCGCAGAAATAAAAATATTTCATGCTACACAATGATCGGATAAGGAAACATTTTCATTAAAAGATTTATAACAAACGGGCGCAAAACCAATTCGGCGTCAATGATGGAACTGGCTTTAAACACAGTTCAATTTGCTTATATAGCAAACGAACAGTTTTTAGAAAAAATCACGAAACATTCTCGAATATGCGTTCTTTATCGCCAGTGACTAACCTTTTATCGACTTGATGGCGCCCTGATGTCTCTGCACTGCTACAATATTCGCTACACTATGATTCGAAGGTCAGCTGAAATCAGTCGCTGATCTTCCTTTTACTCACTATATGCACTATTACTAAATACGTACAAAATAAACTTTTATAAGGCTGTCCTTCTCGAATCTGAAACAAAGAATATTTTTAGGTATGTGAAAAAAGTAACGTTTCTACAATCATTTATTTAAAATTAATGAAAATAAACCGATACAACGAAATATCGAAGGATCTCAGTATTACCATGACTTTATCGTAGGCAATAAAAATGCATTGAGCTTTGAGGTAATGCTCTGTCGATTTCGACAGAATCGCCAATGAATTAGGTAACTCACCGGGCTCTCCTGGATCTGCGATCGGTGACGGGGGTTGAATGCGTTGTTGGAGATGAAATCGTGAGGGGTTAAGATGGAGCTCATATACCTATTTAAGAAAAAGTTATGCCGCGTCCACGTGTATTATATAGAATACACATTATGCCTTGGTCTTCTGACCAGGACCCTCCACCAATAGATCAACCACCGTCGCTCTATGTCTCTCATTGTCCTCCCTTCGAACACCTGCAGGTCGAAATCACTCCCTAACTGTTTTTGTTAGCAATGGGGCCTTAGATTTTTATTTTGGGTCGACACCATGATCTATTCGAGCGAATAGGGCCATTCACCGGTATAATCATCGGGCGCTACCCGAGAACGCGTAAGCCTAGGAATACTTATATCCTGACATCTGCAGGAGTTTTACAAAACAATAGTCAACAACAAAGCACGGCAAGCATAGTTGGCATCATACTATTTCACCACCATAAAATATCGTTCTTATGTAGTAAATAACATTATATATATAGTAGTAAATAACATTATATATATATATATATATATATATATATATATCCCCAAAAAAACTTGCTTAGATTATACCTTGCTAAACGTTGTTAAAATTATTCAATGCGGTGGTTAACATAATACAGATGGTACCATTTAATTTTCGCACCCTGTATTGTACCTATTTAAAATCAATAACTATCACCATGGTAGCAAACTCTACCAAACAAAACGAATTTAGACTGGAAAATGCCCCATCACAAAGTAAAAGTTTTGCTGATAGGCCCAGTTAATGTAAGTGCCAAAGTACCATAAAAAAATTTTCAAATTTTCATTTAAGAGCGGCAAAAGCAGGTTTGCAAACTTCCTCTGCGACCTGGATGCTTCCCTGCCCGAAGACATCAGACCGACGCAGGGATTACGAATACTCGAGTACGAAATAGCGGACGTGGAAATCGGGGGGCATAAATGCGAGGTCGACGTACAACTTTGGGACGCCAGCGGTGACGAAATGTGCGAAAAAATCGCGCCGCCACAAAGGTCCTAATTCTGATTTTTAAAAGGTACTCCTCATACTGGCCGGTGTTTAGAAAAAATACGGACGGCGTCGTATTTGTGTATTCGCAAGAGGACGATTACGGCGTTCGGAAATTGGATTTGATGTACAATTATTTCGTAACCCAGCCGAATCTGAGCCCGCGCGCGTGTTTGGCTTGCGCCATGCAATCCGACGAGGTTTTTGCGAAATTATGTACGTAGGTAGAGCTAGGGGTCGCTGATGTTGGAGTGGCGGTATCGAAATATTCAATAATATCCTGAATTTTGTGCCTATTTCCCCGGTTTCACAAGGGGACGAACTTAATTTTTTAATTTGAGTTTCCGGGTTTCGAAAGAGTCCGATGGCGAATTTACTGGAGCCAAATTAACTTCTTTTAGTGTAAATCCGCTCATCAGCCCCCCCCCCCCCCCTTGCTGGCTTCAGACCATCTATACAGTACTATTTATTAAGAAATAGACATAGGGATTTACGTATATTATTTTTCCCTATGTCTACTTTTAAACGATATAATCCTTCTGAAGGGCGCCTAATTTTATGCAACCAAAATAACTTCTTAAAACATCTGGCTGTCATATTGCAATTCTAAAAGAGACTATGGGTACACATTTTGGGATATTGAATTAAACGCGAGTATTTCTGAAAGCTTCACAAAGGTAATATTTCAGTGAAATTTTCCCGCGAGTTTTCTTAGTGGAGAATCTCCAAAATATTTCGCGGTAAAATTGGAAATCTCTTTGTGTCTTCCCACAGAGATTCTCTAGCAAGCGGGCACCTTAGTTAGTGACTTTCAGAAGTTACCTCAAAAATTCTTGAGAAAAGAATCTCAGTTCTAAAAAACATTTGGGTAAGCTTTAATAATTAAATTATTGTAGATATTGGTACTTACTCCAATTTAAAACTCTTTTAGTTGGGTGGCCATAGTTAATAAATCGCAAGTCTAACGGCATTTAAAGAGCCATTTTGGAAACGTGCATTGATAAGGGTAAAAATGTCTGCTGAACCTGAATTCGGATGTTGCCAAGCTGATTTTTGGCTAATTTCAAAATTGCGGCCAATAAGGCGGCCAAATATATAAATTTTTATGCCAGGCGCATTTTACATAGTTTTTCGGATTGAGGTGTTAAAAAAACATACAGGAAGCACAGAACATTTTTTTTCAAAAATGCGCCAAAAATGAAGGCAGGATGCCCCCATTCTGACGGCAAATGTATTACCTATATTTCGTTAAAAAATTTTAACGGAACTTAAATTTCTTCATCATTCTGCTCATTTTTTTTACGATTGAAGCAGTCGCCAAGACACTTGTAGATATTTGTGCACTTTTAGTTCATAGCATAATTTATTTAAAACCAAATTTTTAGGAGGATTAGTCTGACCATTCGATTTTTCAGTGTCTCTTATCGCATTTGCGAGACAATATGTACCTATGGTACAAAATGTCCCCGGCAACAGCATCATGAGAAGACGCCCTTCTGTACCCACTGCATCCAATGTAAATTTCCATAAGAGCGTCCGCCTAAAAAACTCAAGTTGTTTTTGAAAAATAAAATTTTATATTTTATAAATTTAGACCTTTATCTCTCTCTCATATTTTTTGTAAATAAAGTCTGTATCTTGGCGGGCGGTAAATAAACAATTTGAGTGTAGTAAGTGGCGCCGCTGCATTGTGTCGGCGGGAACCGAGCATGATGCTACATGGGAACCGAGGGGTAAACCACCTAGTTAATTCGTTGTAGGTACAAATAGTAGTTAATGAATTAAAATTAACTTTTAATGTAGTTAATGTTCTGTAAATGCAGTTAATTTCAAGTTAATTCAGTTAATCTAATTTAATGTGGTTAATGCTATAAGTTAATGTAATTAATTTACATTTAATGCCATTTAATACTACTATAGGTAGTGCCTATAGCATGTGAAAAACCAAATTTTGAACCTGGTGTTAGATTTGCTTTTATTCCAAGTGCCTATGTATCAAATTTTAATTAAATACTTTCATAAATAAAAGATTTTGCAATTCAAAAAGGGCACTGTGAATGTAGAATTGATTAGGCCCAACTTTTGGCATTGCGTATTATATGGCTAAAATTATGCCCATATTTCATTTCATCCAATTCGGTTTATAACTAACGGAGATGTCAAAAAGGGCCTTCTTTATTTTTTTACGTACATTGCCAATTCACGAACTCCGATCTATAACTCTGATAAAGAATCCAAATGCAAAATTTCATCATAACCGGCGGTCTATTCGTTTTCGAGGTATCGTGCTAATGAACAGATCTCGGGACAGATGGACAGGCACGGCAAAATTATAAACTCTCTACCTAGGAGATCGTCAATAATTTGAAAACGTTGGTTATTTCAAATATGTTTGCTATAGTGTTTCATAAAGAATTTAATAACCTGTCATATTATGTAAGGGTGTTCCATATCAAAGTCACATTTTTGTTATCATCAGAAAAAAACGATGTGGTTTTGTTTTTTTAAATGCAGATTTGAATTCATTGGAAAAACACGCAATTTTTATTTATGTATATAGTTGAAAAAAACCTTAAATACTTACCAACAGTTATTAAAAAGCACAAAATTTAATAACAAACAAAATTTGCTGAGGAAAATGTAAAACGCTATTTAATTAATTCACAGCTTTTTTGGGACACCCTGTATATCACCACAGGATATATTTTCCTACATTTTCCGAACTAGCTATGAAGTTAATTAACCAACTCTTACGTATATATAAGTAATAAATTATGGAAAATAATTTAATACTAAATAGCACACAATACAATAGATAGTGGCGCCATCGTGCTGTATTTGTGAACTAGTGCAAAATTCGGCCTGACAACATCCAGAATCAGATGTTTTTACATGTAAAAAAACATGTGGCCTAAATGGCTCATAAAATGCCGTTAGAACTAAGAGACAGAGTCGTTTTTCGATTTGGCCACTTAACTATTTTTCTTTTGTGCAGCTTCGACGTTTTCAAAGGTTTCCAAAATCGTCGTGAATTTGGACGCGCAAGGCGAAAAGGTCAAGCAAGACTTCACCAAGTACGTTACATCAGTCGTAAACACGATGACAAACAAATGAGCGCTGTAAGGAGAGTGAAACAAATCTATTTGTATTTTTCCAGTTTCACAACTTAGCCAAAATTAATTGTTACACATAAGTACAATATTACAAAATATAAACTAAACTGAAAGATACAATAAATATTACGTTTATTTTATAAACATTTCTTAAACTTTGCTTAAACTACACCTAGAAAGTAGGTCACTTTGATCTCCTCAACTTCCTAAAACCAAAAGGAAAGTATACACAATCATAGGGGGACCGCTTTCTTACTTTACTAATGATGGTTCCTTCAAATTTACTTTAGAAGCCGCTCGCTTAGGCCGCGATCGTTTAGATAGACTGGCCGAACTGTTGAAATAAAAAAAAAAGTTTAATTTCACGGCGACATTGTGGCGCAGAATACCGGAAATGAATTAAAAGCTAAACTCACTGTGATTGTGAAGACTTGGCCGTTGAATCGCTACTTTTGGGCGGGGACAGTAAGGTCACCTGCTTCCGTCTTCTCAACGAAACGTTTATTGCGTTTTGAAACGAATTTTTCTCCGGCGGTGAATTTAGCGCCTTTTTCGACACCTTAGACGACACCACCGTGTTCCTCTTCCTTTCCCTTCGAATGAAAGCTTAGTTAAAATTATACGCGCGAAATGAAGAGACATACGATTTTCTGTTGGTAACGAACTCATTCGATTGCTTTTTCAATATGCCCTTTTTAGACATAGGTGCGGCTGGACTCTCCGACGGTGTGGCATCTGTCGGAAGAGATGATACGCTACAAAAATCATAGAAAAATGTGTACAACTGAAATTGTGACTTACTTTAATGCTGAAATTGGAGAAAGTCCCAATCTAAAAGAAAAATTTAGTTAATAATGTGGACCTTGTCAATCAAGGGGGGGGGGGAGGGGCGTTGAAAATCTCGCCTTCCTCTCAAGCAATCGATGGCATTTATTATAAAACTTACAAAACGGGTAGCAGGTTCTCAAAATATTTTGCGTTAAAAAGAAGACTTTTAAGAGCCACCTACAATAGGCGTAATGGCGGAGGGGTAAACCACTTTGGAAGTTTCCGTTACAAAATAAAAGCAATGCTTGGTTTCAAATTATTAACGGCGGTCGAAATGCCTGGCCAGCGGTTAACTCCTTAGAGGATGGTGGTTCTGTCGCCAGTGGGCGGTGCTGAACCCTTCACAGTCCGTGCTCGGGCGCCAAATTGTAAAATTTATTTTCGGACTTAAACATTTGCCCGATGTGTTGCTGTACTTTACAAGTTTTTTGGCTGACTTTCTCGTATACGAGGCCGGTCCGCATCACCGGATGGCGCCGCTATCGTAAAAGAAACTTATTTCTGGAAGGGAAATCGCGCAGCGAAATCAAAGAGCGCTTAGATGCCGTTGACGAGTTTCACCGTGGCATCGCACTTTTTCTCACACACAAAAAAACAATGGCGGGAAACTGTTGGTTTCAACAGCATGGTGCACTCGCGCACAACGCCTAAATTGTGCGAAATTATCTATCGGACAAATTTCCTGGAAAATAGAAAGTGTGTCCGATAGGTATTCTCGAACGAATAGTGCGTTGTGTGCAGGAGCACCATACTGTTGAAACCAACAGCAAATTTTGTGTTTTTGTAATCGTGTCATTTTAATTTTGCAAATGTGTCACATCTCGTACATGTAAGTGCATAGTGTCATATTATTTATGTTAAATTTATACAGGGGGGGCCATTAGTGTATGGGTGGACGATTGTGGGTTTATTAACGCGCGTATTTAAAATTCATTGTGGGGGAAAGTTGAAGGACCCTTAAGGCTACAATCTAAAAATATTTTCACCGAAATTGCAATTGTTATACAGGGTGATTTATATCAAAGTTGCATTTTTTTAATGGAACCCCCTGTATATTATTACATATTTCTTAAAAATGTAATAAAATCCTACATTTGATGCGATAAAAAAACTTGGTAGTTCCATTTAAAAAAGCAAAGTTCTTATATTTATTTGTGTATAATTTTTGTTTTTCTTGTAAAATTTCCCATACCTTTGATTGAAATGGACGGAGTGATTTCTTTTAACACAAAAGAAGTTTAACTTTAGTCGTTCGGCGTATGTTAGTAAATTTCATGACTAGTACCACTGCAAAGTCAAGGCCTTCTAAGTTTTATGATAACGGCGATATTCAATTTTTACTGGACATCTACTTTTTAAAAAAAAACGACGAATTGCGGCTAAACGACTCTTTTTAGATATCATGTGTAATACATTAAGTCACACTAAAATTGACCAAGGAATCCAAATATGTAATAATATATAGAGGGCGCCATTTTAAAAAATGCAACTTTGATATAAATCACCCTGTATAACAATTGCAATTTCGGTGAAAATATTTTTAGGTTGTAGCCTTAAGGCTGGACAGTACATACAGAACGGAGTATGTAAAGTTGCCTATTGTCAATCCCCAAATTTGGTTATTTATAATATTAATTTGTGTTCGATGGTAAAAACATAAACTTAGTATAATTATAATGCACATTTTCTATCTGTATAAAACCAGCCACGCGGCGGAAGCTATCTTTTCGCGCTTTTTAGAAAAACTTTTAAGTTGTTTTTCCAAGATAACTTATCTATAAATGAAGTTGGAACAATTTCCAAAATTAAGATACGTTCGTAAACTTAATATCTAGGCAATAACGCCAGGAAAATTTATTTCCTTTTTTCTTTTCCAAAATATGACACCCTAACAGCCCTCGACGTTGCCCTTAAAAAAAGATTATTTTTTATTATACCTGTATCACAATCTCCGTTTTAAACACTCAAATGCGTGCGAAAAAGGGCCTTTAAAACACACGTGCTTTAAAGTTGCTAAGTAACGATACTTCAAGTATGACTTCTGAAACTGTCATCTGGATGAAATAAAAAAATCCTCTTAGGTCGCTTTCTGTAAATGCAGAACATTTCTTTGGCTTTTGTACCTATCCTTTGGTTGAAGCTTTCACAAACGCGCGTAATTTAGGGTATACTTCCAAATTTGTTCCACTTTTTAATCGCAGCATTGCTTTAAAGTTTTGAATGAATGCACCAAAATATAGAAGATTTAAATACCTTTGACATTTCCTTCATATATGCCAGCATGATGCATTTAAGACTGTATTCGTAAGTAACTTCCTATTCATCCATGGAAACAACTCTTCATATTCTTTATAATAGGCTTTACTGGAGTTGGATTTTACACCTACCAACGTTTGTTTAGATTTTACAACAATCGATTTAATTGACGGTGTATTATCTTTTTCAACGGAAATCGTTTAATTCACAAAGACGATGATTTTTATAAGCAAACGTCAAGTGACATTTCCATGGCAATCGTGAAATTACGAACACCCAGCCCACTTAATTCGACATGTATTCGAGTATAACGTCAATATGACTTCATTGTATTTCCTATTTTTAAATTATACTGCAGGTATAATAAAAAATACTATAAGATACACGTGTATAATTGGTCTTTAGAGCACTTGCAACGTTAAAGGCACTCCGCTTTGCGTCGTGCCCTTAAACTCGTTGCGCGTGCTTTAAAGACTTGATTATACACTTGTATCTTAATATACTATTAAAACATTTTAGTAAACCCCGGCGTTATTGTCTAGCTAAAGCATTCACCTTTCACAGGAATATTCGACCCCTTCTTCAACTTCACTCAGAATTAAGATATCGTGGAACGAAATCACGCGTTTTCGGGCAACGGAACGGGTGTACTGTCCAGCCTTAAGGGTCTTTCAAACCTCCCCTACAATGAATTTTAAGTATGCGCGTTAATACACCCTGTATATACACAGACTGTAAGGTCTCTCAGCACAATAAATATAATAATAATAATAGTCGTAATAAAAAATGCTACTTAATACAGTACGTCATTTTTTGCGGGCCATATAAAAAACTAAAGTTGGTGATGATTACTCCGAAACGAAACGTTGTATTTAAAATCCCTCAACGGTGCCTTAAAAAGTGGCAATGAGAAAGTGTTTTTAGCGCATTTTTTACTTCTAAGGGAATGGTCCTAGAGTCCTGGAATTTTTTGCAGTAGATAGCCTACACCTTGAAGGTGTGCCAGACGGCCATCAAATTACGCTGTCTAAAAGCCCCCCCCCCCCCCTCCACGAATTATTTCCTGAGATGCTGTTTTTGAAAATAAAACATGCATAGCTTTTACATACGACAACCAATTGGTCTCAGATTTTACATACGCATGCCTTTAGTGGTGCTAAGTTAAACTTTAGGAAATGGGGAGAAGAGGGGGGGGGAGGGGGTAAACACATGTTTTACCCTTCATGGTATTCTAATGCAAGGTCTCATCGAAATAAATTGGTTTGTACAAACTACAACTTTCCCGTGCGACTCTTTTTCGAGATCGGGATTCGAGACGGGGCCTGAGGGGGGGGGGGGTTAAAAATTAATTTTACCTCTCATTGTATTCTAATTAAAGGTCTCAACGAAAGGAACCGTTGTTTTCTACCCACTACTGCTCTTCTTTCTCTCCTCTTATCAAAGTTCGGGGTGGTGGTGGGGGGAACTAGTTTTATCCTTCACGGTACTCTAATGAAAAGTCTGAACGAGAGGAATTAATTTCTACCAACCATAGCCCTCCTCCTCGACCTGTTATCGTGATCGGGTATATTCCCTTATACCTCAAGAACGGATTGTTGGAAGAGGGTAGTCACAAAGAGCGATTGAGACGTCTGCAAGAAATATATCCATTGGTGATGTCAAAACAAAAGCTATTTCGGTAAAAAAAAAGTGCGCTTTATCTGCACAACAGTTGTGCACAATTTATACTTTTTATTTTTTGTATATGGAAATCAGGAAAAAATAAAAACAAAATCGGCAAACTTCGGATCTTCTTGTATATCTTCGGAAGTAATCGCAATTTTCTTTAAATCTTTAAAGCATGAAACCCCACCGTTTTGGAAAAACGACCCCCGAAATCCTCGCACAAGTCTCCAATATTATCAACCCTCCCTCGGCCGAAAATACGTAGGTACTCGGCACTCGAGCACTTTTCGGAGGGACCGCTTGGTGTTCGATACTCGAGGGTTTACTTAAAGTGATCGGCGCTCGAGCGCTTTTTTCTGCCGACGAGCGGTTTTTCCGCTCATGAGCGTTTTTTTTCGCTCGCAAGCACTTTTTCCGCTCCCGAACGCTTTTTCCGCTCCTGAGCGTTTTTTTTCGCTCGCAAGCACTTTTTCCGCTCCTGAGCGTTTTTTTTCGTTCGTGAGCGCTTTTAAACGCCCTCAAGCGCTGAAGAATCAAGCGCCGCTCGCGAGCGTTTTTTTCCGCTCCTGAGCGCTTTTTCCGCTCTTGAGCGTTTTTCCGCTCGCGAGCACTTTTCCCGAGCGCTCGCGATAAACCGCTCGAGCACTTTTAGGAACGCTCGGAACTCGCAAGCGGTTTCGCTTTGCAAAACAACTCGATGCTCGCGAGCATTTTTGAGCAAATAAGAGTGCTCGTCGTTCGAGCGGTTTTTTTAGAACGCTCGACCCAGCTCTGCTCACGAGGGTTTTCTGTCGCCCAGTAACGGCATGACGACTACTGAGCTTTGCGTAGTTTTCCCCCAGCTAACGCCATTACTCCCACTCCGCGCTCTTCAGTAATTGTTTGAAACTAGAGAGTTCATTATGTTCCACCCTGTATAACAAAGACGCGAAATTCGGAACAAAACGATAATAAATAACGGGTTATATACCCTACTTTTGACGTAAGCATTTTTGCCTAAAGAAGATATCAGTTTAAGGGGATGATTTATTGGAGTTTAACTTTACCTACCTACATAATCCAGACGAATGAGGTGAAGCGGTCATTTCTTTTGCGAGTTGCGATAAACTTTGCCACTACCACTATTTTGAGTGTCACTTAATTTTGTGTGCAACTTTAAAATCTTGTAACTTTCTCATTTGTGGAGGTATTTTAACGATTCTTTTGCATTTTTGTTTCATTTTATTTAAACTGAAAGCTTCTCCAATGCATCAAAACAAATAATTTATTCACGTTTTTTAACAATAACCATATTCAAGGACTTGACCCCTACTGAAAGGTGGAGGTGGCGGCCTATGGCGCAGTTGAAGCTCGACTATGGTAATAAGGGTCCCTGGTTCGAATCCAGGTTTAGAATGGATAATTGTAAATGTATAGTGTGACTGAACCCCCCCCCCCCGCCCCCCAAAAATACAATAAAAAACAATAAATTGAGGAACCTCGTAGTAACACCTCGTGTAGCACATTATACAGGGTGTGATGCTACAATCTACAATACGAATATGGTGCACATTTTTTCCAAAGTGCTTTACCTCTTGGTAGCGGACCCTTCCCTAAACAGGGGAGCGAGGAGCAACATTGTCAAGTATGCATCACGCCCTACAAATGCATAGTTTCACAGTTTACTTACTGTGACATTGTGTGTAGTTTATTGTAATCATAAGTGTCAAGTAAATTGCTAGGTCCCTCCAGAGGATCGTCACTGGCCGATCTGTTACCAGCTTTGGAAGGCGACGCACCAAAGTGCAGTTTCTGTAAGCCAAAGTTAAAAAAATTGCGAGAGAATGAAGTTTATACTTTTGGATTAGAACGGTCCACGGTTCTTCTCCCCTTCTTCTTACGCGAAATGGCGCTCTGATTTTCGGCACTGGTATTCGCGGCATTTAGCGTAGAAGTACTTTGGCTATATATAAAGCTGCTAATGGGGGTGCTGGTACACGAACCCTTCGGAAACACGGTCACTAAACTGTTCGGTTCGATATTCTCCTGCTGTCTTTCATCGTTTAAATCGATACTCTCCGTAGAGGGACCGGCCTCGGATGCCTTACTGTGTTGTATATCCGACGGTTTGTATTTGTTCGACTTACTGGAACCTCGTATCGTCGTGATCTTCGAAAGGGGATCCACTGGGGACAGAAAAACTCTCACCTGGAAACAAATCTGTAGACGAGGAATGCGTAATTCCGCTTACGTCACGAAAGACGCCCGACAGTAGAGGTATTTGACCGGTTCCGTGCGATCTGCCGCTATTCGCCAGAGAGTGCCGTCTGCTCGACAAGGCCAAGCTGTCTATTTCCTCCTCCTCGATCGAACTCAATCGCCTACAAAATTCGCCCATCAATAACCGGGTAATTCAAAACCGATCCGCTTACATGTCAATATTTAATTGGACGTCCTCCGAATCTACGGATCCTTCCGAATTTTCGTCCGTACCCTCATCTAAAGAGCGAAATTATAAAAGTGCGAATATTAAGAACAAAAACCTACTGCTTGCTTCGACGTGCGACTGCTGTTCGGGATTCTGCCCGTATGTCTGCCTATTCGTGCGCGTTCGTCTCTCGAACGAATCGTTCACTTGCATCTGAAAAGGACGGCGATTATTCGAACAATCGCGGGGCCGATTACTAACATCTCCATCGTGGTCTCGACTATCATCGTCGCTGTAATCGTTTTGGACAGCCTGCATAGTACTGGCCGTCCGACGCGTACACACTTCGGCGAAGGTATTCTCGTTCACTCTTCTCAAATTAATCGTGGGACTATAAATGACGTGCCCGTCGATCATCGGTTTAACGGCCTGCGTTTTATTGACAGAATGCGACATGGACTTGTTTCTGGTTTGATTGAAGTTCGTAAGCGACAGATCTTAAAAATGGACGATAATTACGAGGACATTTAAACGCTTAAAGTACCCATATTTGCGATTCGTTTAGCACAATTAACGCTGTTCAGAATTTCCGTACAGTGATTCGATAGTGTAACTATATACGTGAGGCTGTCTCGCGCGGATGCGTCGATTTTCTTAATGTAATTCTCCAATTTCTGTAAAGCGGGGGGTTAGCGGCTTGAAAGTACGGTGCAGGCTTACTTTTATACGGAGTGTTGCGCTAAACAGCTCCTGCTGAAGGTAGTTTCTTTCGTCGGTGGTGCGCTTGTATAACGTTTGTGTTTCCGCCAGTGCTTTGGACAGTTCGGTATTTTTTTCTTTGAGAAACACATTTTCTGAAAATGAGCGTTAGGTATCTGTATTTAGGAAGGTTTTTAAACAGTGACATCTCCAAGGAAAATTAAGGTTTGAGGTTAGGATGATCAACAACAACTTACCAGATGGTGATGTTCCCTTTTGATCTTTGGAAAATCGTTGAGATGTTTTCTGACTCCTTTCCATTCTCATTGCCAAGAAAAAGCTAAATACAAACGAATTATTCTCTGCAGCTACAAAACCATAACCAAAAAAGCTTGAGCATAAAACGAGATATCACAGCGCATGCGTTTAATTTCAATTATTTTAAGCATATACAGGGTGTTTTTTTAGGAGTGCACAAAGCGACCTGTTGTTTATGGTGGAATATCTTGAAAATGATTCCTTTGATACCCATTTGATAATGAAAATTCATTAAGGTAGCCACACATACAGGCAAAACTGTTCAATGGAGACCCTGAGGATTTCCTATAAATTTATTTATTTATTAAATTTATTTACGTTTATTGATCTCATACACGAAAACAAAAGTACGTCGATTAAAATATTGGAAAAAGCTAGCCTAGCTATTGATACAGAAAATCAGATATATTATAGTAACCGTTTTGGATTAACATGTTCTTTAATCTATCTTTGAAACTCGCTTTTGCTGGTGCATCTATGATCTCCTTAGGGCAGCTTGTTATAGATTCTAATCGTCATACACTTAAAACTGGCATCAGTCAGCCTTAATCGATGTTGTGGTAATAGTCATTTCTTGTCGAATCTTGTACATCTCCCGTGAATGGCTAGGTTTGTACGAAATTTGTTGAGGTTCCCTCTGACATAGTTAGCCGCCTCATACAGAGAGGGTAATGTCAATATGCGTTCTTGAAATAATGGTTTGCAGGATACCCCACTTTTGGCACCCACCAAGCATCTTATAATTTGTTTTTGACTAACAAAGACACTCTTTCCATAGTTTGAGTTACCCCATAGCAGTATATCATATTGCAGCCTGGACTGGACTTCAGCATAGTTAAAACTCTTAAGAGTGCTGATATATAAGAAGGTACGAAGAAACCTGACCTGGTAGCAGACAGAGCTTAATTTATTTATAATATTATTGCAATGGCTTTCCCATGTTGTAGAACTGTCTAAATGAATTCCTAGAAATTTTGCGTTGGTCACTTGGTGTATGATATTATTGTTTGTCCGTAGCAAGGCAGTATCTTCGTTATAGATTCTACCCGCATAGACTAACATAAAATACGTTTTATCAGTATTCAGGTATTCCGTATTTGAGCAGAACCATTTAAAGAGCGGCTCCAGTACATCTGTGGCATGACTGATGACATCTTCCAGTGCAACTTCTCCTAGCAAAATAGATGTGTCATCTGCATACATGGTAATTGCTGCATCAGCAATATATAGAACTAAATCGTTCACGAAAGTAATGAATAATAGAGGTCCCAGAATGGAACCTTGCGGGATTCTAATATTGACATCTTTCACATTTGAAGTAATATGGTGTCCACCAGTCGTACCAATTGAGTGCGATGATGTAAATAGGATTTGCACCATTCTTGAGCAATACCTCTAATTCCATACATATGCGTTTATGTACAAGGATGTCATGTGGGCCACAGTCAAAGGCACGGCTCAGATCACAGAAAATTGCAAGAGGATTTTCTTTATTTTCAAGCATTTTCAGAAGGCTGTTGTATAGAAACTCATAAGAGCTGTCATTGGAGACTTGTTTTTTTGTGAAAGCATGTTGGTTCCTTGCAATAATGTTGTATTTTGTATAAAAAGCAGTTATCTTTTTAAGCATGGCATATTCTAAGATGTTGGACAACACAGAGAGCAACGAAATCGGCCTATAGTTTGACACAAGCTGAGGATCTCCTTTTTTAAAAATAGGAACAACAGCAGCCGTTTTTAGTGCTGCTGGAAAGGGACCATTCATTAGCGATTCATTTACCAGATAAGTTATTGGTGCAAGTAGTTGGTGCTTGGCTCTTTTAATAAGAACCACAGGAAAACCATCAGTACCACAGGAGGTGGTACTCTTCAGTTTGGAGATGATTGCATTAATTTCTGATTCAGTACAGGGTATGATGCCCATACTGTTAGGATTGAATTGCATATGCTCAGCACTAAATTCAGAATATGGAATTTTACCAGATATTTCAGACGGCGCCCTTATAAAATAGTTGTTAAACAACTCAGCTACAGTGTGCGGGTCCTCAATCAATTTGCCCTCCACTTTTAAGGCTGGGATATTGACTGTTGTAGTAGTTTTTCCTTTGAACTTATTTATTATGGTCCAGGCAGCCTTTCCCTTATTTGAGGAATTGTTCAAAATGGAATTACAATGGGTGGATAAATGGGAGTTGATTATGACGACGATTATGCTTTGGGGGCAATTGGTTGGTGGAAAAGCACACTAAAGCTCGCAAAAAATGTCAGGGTTAATGAAGAGAAGCAATAATATTCCCATATAGGTACCTAAATCTCTTTTCCGAGAAGGTTTGCCCTAAGGAAAGGCTGGGCCCTCCAAGCCTAAAGGAGCCTTTTCTGACGTCATATCTCATTTCATTTAATTAATTAATTATTATACACTGTGAAAGTCTTAAATACCTTTCTACTGGCTTTGGGAAATATTCGCCCCGCTACGACACTTTGCTAAAAAGAGATTTGATTATCTTAGAAAAGCGAAAGGGGTACCTCTAATTCAAATCGTAGCTCCGCCACTGGTTTTAACACAGCTTCAATGCGACGTTGCCAAACTTGTAGATTCCGTCATATGCAACCAGGTGTAATATGACAGTTCACAGACAAAATAAAAATATTTTCAACAATGACGTTTTGACAATTAAACGCGTATTCGTTCCTGTTTTGCAATAATGCCAGAAATTGCATATAAATTTTTCGGTATAAATCTGTGAGGTATTCCACGTGCAGATCGAGATGATTAATTTTCACAAAATGTAGAGGTACATTCGATGTGCACTTTTCAGTGTATTGATTCCCATGCTTTAACAAATTATTATATTTAAACAAATTACGCGTTTCTAAACGTTTTATTATAATGGAGACCGTGGGGGATTACGAGTACAGCAGCAAGGATTTAATAGGGCACGGTGCGTTCGCGGTCGTCTTCAAGGGAAGGCATCGAAAGGTCGGTAACCCGCCGCTCAAATTACCTAATCGGCCAATTCTCTCGTAGGATCCTGCCAAAACTGTTGCCATTAAGAGCATCACGAAGAAGAGTCTGGCGAAATCGCAAAATTTGTTGGGGAAAGAAATTAAGATTTTAAAGGTACGACGTTGTCTCCTTTGTTGTACTCTCGTTTCTGTTATCTAAATTTGGCTATCATTCGGTGTTTTTTTGCAGGAACTGACCGAGCTAAATCATGAGAATGTCGTCGCACTTTTGGACTGCAAGGAATCCTCTCACAATGTCTATCTCGTTATGGAGGTAAGTCACTTTGGGCTTGATAATAACTCCTTTATACAAGTAGCCAAGGTTACCAGATGAAAATGTATTTTCCCAACCGTACTGGGAATTAGGTCGCGCATCACTGAGTTTAATTGTACTTGATCTGCAAGTCGGTGTGCTTATACACTTGATTTGTAAAATGAGTTTTGGGATCAACAAAATGTGGACATGTCCAATTACGTCCAACATAAATATAGTAGGGGGTGGGCAAATGTTTCCAATAAACGTAAAAGGGGGTGGTGATCAATTGATCCCACTTTGTCCATCAACTGTTGAGTTAATAAAAGTTGAATTAAATAATTATCTTCGTTTGTTTTCTTAGGGCTGTTGATTAATTGCAATAAAAATAGACTGACGACTGATCTGCATAGTAATCGCGTAAAATCGAAAATGTATAAATGATTATGTGTTTCTTTTCAAATGTTAGGGACAAGACTTTAAACCAAATTTTGTCCTGCATTGCTATTTTTAAAAAAGATTGAGAATTGAATTGTTGTAATTAGCACTTGATGGGTATAAACCTATCGGAAATAACAAAATAAACAATAAAAATGGAATGTTTCCATTGTAAAAATATTAATTAATTAAGAAAATGGGTTTTTAGCATTCTACTGGCACTATTGTGTTATTCCTGCATCGCTTATTCTGAAAGCTAAAAGCCATCCTGATGATAATTTATGAATTTCTTTGTCTTAAAATAAGGAAATAGAATATCATAGTGTGTATGAATGTCAGTTTTTCCTTTTAATAAAACAGTTGTCCTGACCTGAGCTGAGCTGAGCGTCGGAAATGGGCTCATTTTCACTTTGAATTGTTGAGGCATGGGAACCTGCAACTGAATTGGAGGGTTACCCAATGTTTTTTAAAGGTTTAGTATTTTATTTATTTTAATATCACATCCATAATGGGCTATATTGAATTTTATTTCTGAATAAGCATGAGATACAGCCATCGTGGCTTAACTTGATTTTTTTAAGTTATTAACGGCCTTAAACCCTTTCTGATTGGTAGTAAAAAATATACTAACCAATAGAAAATTAGACATCGCCATTTTGAAGATAATTCGCCTTTGTACTTTTTGAATTTTTGAATCATTTGATTTTGATTTTGATCATTTTTTAAAATTTTTAAATCTTTGAATTTAGAGAATTTAATATGCCGTCTTTATTAAAATATACAGGGTGTTCCGTTTAAAAAAATGAGGTTAAGTACGATAACTGACCCCGTTTATTTATTTTGAAAGAAATGTTTAGCACAGAAGTTTTTTATAATAATTGGTGAATAAGACTAAAACATTAAAAAAAATATAATATTGATTTAGCAATATTAAAAAAATTTTTTTGAAATGTTTTTGTGCTTTTTGAATCATTTGACAATTTTTTCGAATTTTTTATTATCACTGGTTATAGTATTTTTGAAGAGCATTTAATTTGCCATCTTTTTAGATTAAAATATACAGGGAGTTCTGTTTAAAAAAATGAGGTTAGGTGTGATAACTTTTTTTAATTGACCCCGTTTACTTATTTTGGAAACAGCAAATTCTCAATTTCAGAATGACGCTTTTTAAATACAACACCATGTATATTTTAATCTATTAGCATTAATGCATTAATATATACTGTAGAATCTCGCTAATTCGACCCGCGTTAATCCGAACACACTGAAAATGATACCTCTATCTCGCTAATCCGAACGAATTCTGAATAATCCGAACAAAAGTACGAACGCTGCATAATTCTTCCACCAAAACGTGCGCAGGTGCTGGGCGTTTTGATATTTATGATATTATTTACACTGTTAGGAATTCATTCATTTCTGTATGATTTGTAGTGTTTACTTCTCAATAAAAACATCGATTTATTGTTAATCCGAACAATTCACTAATCTGAACCTCCGGTCCCAATTAATTCGGATTAGCGAGGTTGTACTGTAACACTAAAAAAAATCAAAAAAATGTAATATTGATTCAGCAATATTAAGAAAATTCAAATATGTTTTTGAAATGTTTTTGTACTTTTTGAATCACATGACAATTTTTAAAATTTTTTAAAAATATTTTTGAACTTTTTTCAATCAGTTGATGTTTTAATATCCCTGATGTTACATTTTTGAAGTGAATTGAATATTCCAATTTTTTAGATTAAAATATACAGGGTGTTCCGTTAAAAAAAATGAGGTTAGTTACGATGTTTTTTAACTGGTCCCGTTTACTTATTTTGAAAACGTAAATTTCAGAATGAACCTATAGTTTTTTAGTTAAAGGAGACACAGAAGAATGTTTGTTACAAAAGTTTCTTTCGAGGTCTCTTTATAATGATTGTTGAATATTCATTCTACCATATTCAGAATAAGTATACGGGGCTAGACAAAAAAGGTATCGAACTTAACCTCATTTTTTTGAATACAACACCATGTATATTTTAATCTTAAAATAGTGTATTAATATTCATTTTTTAAATATATATATACCAGGAATGATATTCAAAAAAGATGTAAGCGATTCAAAAAATTCAAAAGCGATTTAAAAGATGAAAAGCCATTTTAAAAAAATTCAAAATTATTACTAAAAAATATTCTATTTGTTTTAATTTCAAATAAATAGCATATTTTTGAATCATTATTGAATTTTTTTAGGGTTTTATTTTTGAACAGAGAATTTAATATGCTGTATTTTTGATGAGAAATATACAGGATATTAAAAAAAATGAGGTTAGGTTCGATTAGTGTTTTAATTGATGCTGTATATTTATTTTCAACACGGCAGATTGTCAATTTTAGAAAAATGATTATTGCAAATGTTTCTTTATGATTGTTGAATAATTTAATATGCTATATTTTTAGATGAGAATATACAGGATGTTTTGTTTCAAAAAGTGAGGTTAGTTTCGATTATTTTTTAACTGACGCCGTATACTTATTTTGAAAACGACAGATTCTTTAATTTTTATTATAAAGAAACGCTTTTAATAAATATTTTTCTGTATCTCTTAGCTAAGAAAATATAAGATCATTTTGAAATTTTTTGATTTCTTAAGCGAGCGAATTATGATACCATTTCAAAAAGAGCACATGACGCTTAATGCTAGTCCTTTGCAAGGGTTCACTCGACTACTTACATAAAAGACGTTTTTCGCAGAGAAAAAAACTAAAACAAATATAATAAATAATAAAATGGGAAGATATTTTGCTTATTACATTAAAAACAAAACGATAATTTGATACACATAAAATGAAAAACACACAATACCAAACTAAAAAAAATGCGACAATACACAAAAATAAAAAATTCGCGTATTTCTCTATACAGGTCTGTAATTAAAAAAATCCCACCAATGGAAAAAATTGCTAAAAGCCCGGTAAAAAAACACCAAATAAAAATTCGAATAAATTTGCGAGAGAAATAATCTCGGAAATAATTAAGAAATGTAATTTAGGCAAATTAAATAAAACAAGAAGACACATTTTTTTATTTAAAAAATAGAATAACACAAAACATAAATTCCATTAAACCTACTAATACATCAGGGTGGACGATGGTCTGGACCACCCTGTATACCAAATTTCATGATCCTAAGATCTTACTTTCGAGAATTCTCATGCGAACATCAATTTTGACAACAAACTAGGGATTCATAAATAAATTAATAATAATAAATAAATGAATTTGAGATGCTATCAAAAAACTTTTTATTTGCGTAGCCAATTTGCTAAAATTTTGACTTGTTTTAATAAAAGAAAACCGGCAAACACGAACGGTTGATATCTTCAAGAGTTTTCTTGGTTTCCTTACTTTAGGACTGCTGGTTTCCAGCATTATTAAAAGGGGTCTGAGATAGAGTTTCAGAGTGAGCATTTCACATACCTACACTATGGTTTCAGATGGGCTGTTTTTCAGACTGAATACCCGCTTCTTATGGAGAGAACTCCACTCCCTCACAACGGACACCCCGTATAATACCTAGAAAACTTTGCGGAAAAATTGTCGGCCTTCATTGAATTACATCTACCCGTTTGTATGTAAATTGATAGCGAATGTTTCCAGAAGTCCTTGCGACACACCAATCATGCAACACCTTAATGTGTACAAAGGCCAATGAGTACGATGAAAACACTTCAGGAAATTGTACAATTACTGCGGAATAGAACTTGTAATTAAACGGTAATGATAAATAAATTAATAATTAAAAATGATTCGTCCAGTTCTGTTAGGTTTAGAGCGACTCAGCAGAATTCTGTAATTCGAATTTATTGTACATTTCATTTTATCCCAGCACTTAATTATACATCATCCCCTTTTTGTTTTACCCCGATTCGGTGTTACACTTATTTACGCATTTTTTATTTATATATTTTATATTAAAAAATTAAATAAATACAATAAGTATTTACACTTCCGCCTTCTGCTTCCGTTATAACACTTCCGTTGCATTAGTAGGTTCTGACTATTTTGGTCAAAGTATGAAGTAATTTTTTGCCAGAACATTTGCGTTTTTAAATTTCCAAAATTATATGCACGGTATCCGAGAAAGAACACTATGGGCACGGTAAAAAATTTGGTTAGATTTAAATATTTTGAAAATTTTACGGTTTTACGAACTATTTTTTTCTTGCGCATTAGCATTTGACCTAGGAAAAAACCAATGAAACTTCTCCGCAGCAACTTTTACCTAATACTCTTTAAGACGGCGTTGTTAAATTGTTTAATCCATTTCGCCTTTGCGGAACCACCAACTTCATTTTTTTTAAACACGGTCCTGATATTCCGATTTTTGTATTATGAATTCAATGATTATGGTTGAATGGTTTTTATCGGGTTTAATTAATAAAATTCCTATTACAGATAAGGGATAGTGAAATGAGTTCTTCATTAGAAGACATAATTAATAGATCATGAATAATTATGAACAATTACACGGTTAATTATTGTGTTTTTTTGTTTTTCTTATTAAATTGTCACTGTCGATTCAGTCGTTGGATTCCTATTAAATACGTAGATAATATAAACCGGTAATTCTCCTAGTTAATTATATATTTATTTAAAAAAAAATCTTTGTACAGGTCCGTAATTGAATTCAGAATGAAAAGGGCTCTAAGAATACGATATTGGAATATCCTAGGGGGAAACACGTTCCATTTTTGGTGTACACCAAAAATTCAAATTCAAATTAATTCTCGTTAATTCAAATTAATTCACGTTAATTCAAATTAATTCACGTTAATTCAATTTAATTCACGTTAATTCAAATTAATTCACGTTAATTCAAATTAATTCACGTTAATTCAAATTAATTCAAAGGGGTGTACACCAAAAATTCAATGTTGTTTCCCCCTAGGGAATATCAGAACCGTATTTAAAAAACATTAAGTTGACGATGGTTCCGCAAGGATGAAACGTTGGATAAAAAAATTGACAACGCCATCTTGTATTCTATTATTTTATTCACAGGGGAGCCCGATCAGGCAGCTCGCCAAAGGCCCCTTTTCTTTCGTAATTAGGTTCAGAGCACGTTCCTCTCAATAAAGGATAGGGTCCTGTTTAGCGTAAGTTTCTTCACCCTCCCCAGTTCCCAATGGTTGTCGCGAAGGAGCTGATGTTTGCCTCTAATCAAGGCCTCACAGTTACTCGGTAGTTTCATCTGCCTCGCCACAGAATCTGCACGTGGGCTCCTCCACTAGCCCAATGTTGTGCAGGTGATAGTTGACCATCCAGTGCCCTGTAAGGACACAGACTATCTTACTAATCTGGCTTCTATTCCGTGGGTCCGGACGGACAGACGGACTTATTACTCTTAAAAAATGCGCTAAAAACCACTTTCTCATTGCTATTTTTTGAGCTCTAATAGACGCCGTTAAGAGGTTTTCAATACCGTGATGGTCCATACCAGACGACCATCAAATTTCGAAATTTCGCTGTGTAACCCCCCCCCCCCACGCTACCGCCCCACGAATTATTACCTGAGATGCTGTTTTAGAAAGTGAAACGTGCATAACTTTTACATACGACAACCAATTGGCCAAGTTAAATTTTAGAAAATTGGGGGTGGGGGGGTAAACATATGTTCTACCCTTCATGGTATTCTAATGAAAGGTCTCATCGAAATAAATTGGTTTGTACAAACTATAACTTTCCCGACAGGGCCTGAGGAGAGGATGGGTTAAAAATTAATTTTATCTGTCATTGAGGAGAGGGGGGGGGAGGAGTGGAACTAGTTTTATCCTTCATGGTACTCTAATGAAAGGTCTCGACGAAAGGAATTAATTTCTATAAACCATAGCGCTCCTCGGGTATATTCTTTTATATCTCAAGAACGGATTGTCGGAAGAGGGTACTCACAAAGGGCGATTAAGACGTTTGCAAGAAATATATCCATTGGTGATGTCAAAACAAAAGCTATTTCGGTTAAAAAAATGTTTTTATCTGCACAAGAGCTGTGCACAATTTATACTTGTTTTATATGGCCTGTAAAAAAGTACACACTGTATTCACTCACGCTCATTTGTTTATAGATAATTGCTAATTAGAGATAAAAAGGGGGGGGGGTTAATTAATTAATGCTTTGTCCCCTTTTAGTCTGAGAGATTAGGAAAAAAGTTCGCACTTTTGAGTAAAGCTATGAAAATTGGCACATATGCTCTTTGGCGCTTCCTCTTAAAGTTCCGACGTGGGCCACGCTCATTTGTTTATAGATAATTGCTAATTAGAGATAAAGGGGGGGGGTTAATTAATTAATGCTTTGTCCCCTTTTAGTCTGAGAGATTAAAAAAGTTCGCACTTTTGAGTAAAGCTATGAAAATTGGCACATATGCTTTTTGGCGCTTCCTCTTAAAGTTCCGACGTGGGCCACGCTCATTTGTTTATAGTTAATTGCTAATTAGACATTAAAGGGGGGGGGGGGTTAATTAATTAATTTGTCCGTTTTGCGCATGGCGATAAGTGCCATATAAAACTTATGTCATTTAATTGCTTAGCTTTGTGGGTAATTATGTGAGTTTGGAGCCTAAAAAAAATGGAACAAATGTAGAAATCGGCTACTTGGCGCCTGAATGGGTAGGCAATTCCTACTCATATGGACTTACCTGTGCCCCAGTTGTCCACCACAAATATTCTAAACGTTTTTCCACAACCATGGAGCGTAGTAGAGGCGAAAAAAGTGGTCCAGGCATTTTTAGCAATCAACATTTGTCTAAGACTTCAGGGGCAAATGAGCGTGGCGCCACGTCGGAAATTTCAAAGAGCATACTTAAAAATGCGAACTAATCTCATTATAGGTCCTATGCACCGAAACCTTGGTAGAGCAAAAGTTTTGTTTATTTACAAATTTCGCCAGATCGCCAAAACACCCCTGGATGTGCTCTTTCTATCTTACCACCCTTCTTTGTCCAAATTTAATGTACCATCCTTGTTTTATGGCGTTTTACTGATCTTCACAAAGCAGAAGAGGGTTTAATCTGGAACGAGGAGTAGCGGAAAATTCTTAATTGGGGCATTAAATTGCCATCCCTCATCTTCTTCTCACCTCCCATCTAAAGCGAGCGAAACGGGATATAATTTGGAATGGGGCAGGAGTAACTGGAGCACTTTTTTTTTGGAATGGGGGTAGGAACAATCGGCTACCGACAGATGGGGTGTTTTAGAACAAGCGGGTCGCATTTTGTGCCCCTTTATTCTGGTTAGTTTTCATTCAGTGGTACCCGAACTGGAAGGTAGCACGAACGACATCAAAATAATCCTGCCGGCTCCATAACGAATTTATTCCAGAAACAATTAATATTTTAACCGAAGCCAAAACAACCGGAAGCCGATCTATTAATTCTTCGCCTATTTATACGACTCCGCTATTTAAAAATGGGGCTTTGAACTGCGTCGCAATTAATCTAAGTTCTATTAATAAAATACTTATGTACAAACTGCTTTTACCAATACAAAATATTCATCGGATTGGGGTTGTCATTAACTTACTTCGGTAGTGGTATACAAAATGAACTATTTTTACGTCTTACAAATAAATACAGTGTAAACTTGTCTGATTTTTAAGTACCCCCCTCGCCAGTAGTTTAACTTGCCCCGTCTGGCTTGAAGGTTGTGGTCGTGGGCTGATAGGGGCTGCCGCTGTTGCGTTTGCTGCCTGCGGGAGCGCTGTTAACGTCACCGTTCTCCTTGCCGAGGTGGTTGTTCATCAGCGGCTCCTTCTCGACGACGTCCAGTGGGATTTCGGCGCGGATGTTCTTGTTGGCGACGATTTCCTTCAGCTCGCGCTCGACCTGCTCGGACTCGGCGCGCGCCGTTTTGTTCTTGTAGAACTTGTAGCCGAAGGCGGCGAGCCCGGCCACTACGACCAGGACGACGAGCACGATGAGGATCGTCGATCCGGTGTTGCTGGTCGCGGTCACCTCGCCGACTTTGGCAGGTTCTGGAAGAGCGACTGTGAAATGTGGCAACTTGGGGTGAGCTTACCTTCGGCTTCCTGCTGAATTTTTTCAGATTTGTTCGCTTGCGCATCAGTTGTGTTTTCCAGTCTTGGTTGCGGCTCTTTGATTTCAGCGGGGATGTCGGTGACTTCAGGGGAGGTTACGTTGATGGTAGCTGGAATGTTTGGGACAGTGTCGTTGGGCTTTACCTCTGGTGGAATCACTCGTGGCTCCAATTTGGGTGCGATTGTGCTAATTTCAACGTGCTTTGTCGTTTGTATTTCAGTTTCGTTTGCACTTTCCACCGGTGACTCCACTTTCTCCTCTCTGGGCTCCAACCTCGGTTTGGGCAGAGGAGCTTCGGTGATTATGGCTTCTTCCTGTACCTCCACCGGGGTCGTTTCTGGATCATGTACAGCTGTCGTGTGATCCTCCTCTTCAGACTCCTCATAGTTAACATAATTCGAACATTGTACTGCGGGAATGTTGACGTCTTTGCTTCGGATTGTAACGGTTAAATTAAACGACAAGCACAACTCTTTGAGGAGCGGCTTATTTTCGACCGGCAATATCACCTTTTCCAAATTTTCAATTGTACTGAAAGGCGTGGTGGGAAAACTCTAAAAGCGCAAATGACTCCAGCTGCCGTACCGGTTAGCCACTTACCTTTTCCTCCAGAGGGTTATCACTTAGATCTATGGTTTTAAGATATCGCAGACCGTCAAAGGCCGACTGCGGCAGTGCCCGAATGCCGCAACCAGAAATGTTCAAGTTGGCGATTTTCGAGATGAAAATTGTCGAATACTTCGGAAACTCCAAATGCTTGTTTCCGGATAAGTTGATGGTTTGAAGCTTCTCATTTTTTACGAACGCCTCTTCCTTGATGTGCGTTATGTTATTGTCCGACAGATCGATCTCTTCCAGTTGGGGATATTTCGAAAAGTTCTAAAAATGAGAGTCGGACAAACTCAAAAAATTTTGAATACTCACGTAGTCCTTCAGTGATGTCAGTCCCTTTTTGGACAAGTCCAATCTTGTGATACCTCCCTCTGGTGATTCACTCGAATGATCTAGGATCTCCTGGGCGAATCTACAACAAGTGAATACGTGGTTAGCGGAATGGGTTGGGAGTGGTCAACTAAAACCCCCTCGCTGTTGACATTTAAATTTGGTTTCGACCAAACTTACCCCAAAGCGACCAATAATGCAATTCCAATTATTATTTTAACCATGGTGATAATTTGGGAATTGAAACTACCGTTAGCTGATTTGGATGGAAACGATATAAAGTCATCTATGTATTTAAGATAAGTTTTATCTTATCTGGTGCAGGTAAAATAGGTATGTGTAGTGGAAATAACAGCGTACGTAGAAATTTCCGTTTAAAAATGGATTCACAGTCTTAATGGTACTTACATGAAATTTGTGATAAAGAAGAGAGTCACAATAATTTTTGTCATTTTATCTCCATCATATCCAGAGGTCGAAAGTATTACTAAACTTATATTCTTACTTTCAGTGTTTTCTAAGTTGACACCTCAGTGTTTGCTTATTCATAGTTTATTCATTCTGTCTAAATTCAAAATTTAAGGCTATAGCTATTTATATAAGGAGCTCGTTGGCAAGGTTAAGATGTGTGGCCGTCATTGGCCACCTGACTTGGTACATTGTTGTACATAAGATAACCACACAACTATTATATTAATGAGCTTCAAATTATCAATTTTATGTTAATTGGCCATTAAGGCCGAGTCGTATTCCACGCATATATTTACGGCTACTACTAATGCACGCAGTCCCCTTCCCAGGTTTAATATAACGCGCGCTTCCTACAGTTCTTAAAATAATCTCATAATTCTTTTGGATCCACTGTGTGACACTTTATGAATATGTAAAGTGAGTTTCTGTGCATTTTATGTAAATGAACTCGGTCCTCCCACTGTATTGACGTTATTTTTTGCGCCTCGATGTGTTTTTTTACTGGCGCGTAATTTGAAAATGGACTTCCAAAGCTCAAGATCGCCGTCCTGACTCATCGTTACTCAATCTGATACCATATCGTTGGGTTGTACGAAATTATCTATGGGAATTATTCCTGGCGCCTGAGCATTTCGAACTTTTGTGCCAATTGACATAGATACAGTGCTCTCGAGCCTCCATTTCGTCCAGAACATCGCACAGCGTATATGTGACGTGAAGTATAGCTATCCTTTTCTAGCAATAAATCGTCAAGCAAACAACATCTGTTAAATATTCCATTGCCCATTGTCATGTAAATCCATGTGAAGTTAGCAGCCAAAATGTCGAAAACATAAATAAATTATCAAAGTCCTCGTGCGAGATCGTAGGGGCTTATATAATGCAAGAAGAATCAAGCCCTTCCTCCAACATTTTCGAGATATTCACAATTAAGTTTTGACATCGCCGCTAGAGGTGTCTCTTCTAGACGTTTCGTTTTACCCTTTGAAAGTACCCTCCTTCACACTCCGTTCTGTGGATGTTTGCACTGAAAGTCACCAATAGCTATGTCTCGTCCTGACGGTCCACTTACCCTTCATGAGTACCCCTCCCGACACTTCGTTTTCAAGATATCCGCTTCGACTTCATCAATAGATACTAGGTCTCCATACAGTTTATTTTGCCTTTGTGGGTACTTTCCTCCGACAAACCGTTTTCGAGATATTCACTCTTAAAGATTTGACAGCAGCAATTTGCAGACGTCCCAATCTTCGTTTGTAAGGAATTATTTATATCCGATCACGATAAGGAGTCGAGGAGGAGGCTATGGTTAGTAGAAATTAACTCCTTTTGTTGAGGCCTCTCATTAGAGTACCATGAAGGATAAAACCAGCCCGAGCCCCCCCCCCCCCCCCCCCCCCCCCAATCTCCTCTTTTAATAAAGAGTGAGAAAGTAGGGCGATAGTTGGTGGAAAACAATTCTTTTTGTTGAGACTTTGGATTAGAATACCATGAAAGATCACATTAATTTCTACCCGATCCCACCCTCCCTCCGGCCACCTACTCATTTCGGAAAGGAGTCGTGCAGGGAATTATAGTGTTCAAACATTTGACTTGGCACTACCAAAGGCATGCGTATGCACATTTTGAGACCAGTTGGTTGTCGCATGCACGTTTTCCTTATAAAAAAAGCATCTCAGGAAATAATTCATGGGGAAGAGGGGGGGGCGAAATTTGATGGCCGTCTGGCACACCTTGAAGGTATAGGCTACGTATTGCAAAAAATTCCAGGATCTTAAGACCATTCCTAAAAGTAGTTTAAAACCGCAGAAGTGGGCTCGGACGGACCAACAGACGGACGGACGGACAAAACGCAAACAATAGCACATTTTTTTAATTCCTAAAAAAATGCGCTAAAAATGACTTGATCGTAAGAACCTAGTAATGCAACGGAAGTTTATAACGGAAGCAGAAGGAGAAGTGTAAATACAGTTATAAATTTGACAGAAACACGTCTGACGACCGATTCGGCTGACAAACCCCGCCCCCGCTCACGTCACACGCCGTCTCGTTCCGCCAATCACAGCGTAGAATCGCCTTGCCATATTTGAAAAATTCAGATATACTTCCGTTATACAATATCGGAAGCGGAAGCAGAACTTCCGGACTTGCGGAAGCGAAAGCAGAAGTCTGTTGCATCACTATTCTTACACTTCTCAAATTTTAGGATAGTTTACCGCGCCCACAGACGGTTGCCAAAGTGATTTTTAAAATTCAGTAGGTAGAAGGGATTTACTGTCTGAATTTTCACGAACTGGCTCTTGGTCTACGAGTGATGTCACAGTGTGCGACATCGGCACATTTAACCAATAGCCTGAAGAGCTAGCAGAAGTGAGAAAAATTACGCTAATTGACAATTAATCGCTTACTGCCTACCTGGCGCGGTGAAATCTACCCCCCCCCCCTCCAAATATATAAAACTTTATACAGGGTGTTTCATAATTGAATGTCAATATTTAAGGGGGCGATTTTTGGGTACATTTTAAAAAGAAAACTTTATATGAACCTATGTCATAACTTTTGAGATACAGGGTGGTAAAGTTTTAAAAAATAAATCATTTATTATTTATATCTCTAATACCCCTCTAGATTTTTAATGAAATTTGGCATGTATGTACTATGTATTCAGAGGAATTTTTTTTATGTAGGAACCACAGGTTTTTAATTTTCACTAGTGGGGTTCGTACGGAATTATACATGCCCATTTTGGCAGACATTGATGGTACGCCACTGATTTCTCTGAAAATAAAAATTATTCTTGAAATACCCAAACAAATTTGATCTCTTTGTTTTTTCAATCCGATGCACTGTTGGGGGATTTCAAGAATAATTTTTATTTTCAGAGAAATCAGTGGTGTACCATCAATGTCTGGCAAAATGGGCATGTGAAACTCCGTACGAACGCCACTGGTGGACATTAAAAAAATGTGGTACGTTAAAAAATGCCTCGGGATACATAGTACATGCATGCCAAATTCCATTAAAATATCTAAAGGTCTAAAGAATCTACAGATATTAATAATAAATGGAAAACTTTACCACCCTGTATCTCAAAAGTTAAGACGTTAAGGACATAGATTCATATGAAGTTTTATTTCTAAAATTGAATTATGAAACACCCTGTACAGTACACTTAGAAAAAAGGTTTCAGTTTCACCGCGCGTCTGACAGGGTGAAATTTACCCCAAAGTATAAGAAAATTCACATAGCACAATTAAAAAATGGTATTTCAACCCCCCAAACCCCCCCGGGTAACATTTTCATCTACAAAATGTTATCATTCAGGGTTCTTTCTAGGGTATGAGTTATCAGATCGTCGCTTCCTAACAAGTACTGCAGAGAACGAAGAAGGGGGGGGGGCTGAATACCCCCTAACAAAGAAAAAATGTATGACCTAGAAAATGATGTTACAAGCAGTTCGTGGAGTTTTTTCTGCGGTAGATCAAGTATTCTATTAGTCGGTTTTGATCAATAAGATCTTGTGGGGAGCTACCACATTTCCTTTGTCGGTACCCACTTCCCGTTCACCCGAAATTAGCATTTTGGTGGATTTCGCTGAAACCCTCCACAAAATAGTACCCAATTTTTGGGAGACTTTTCATAGCTCGAGCTTCTATTGGCGACACGAGAAAGAGACCGCGGTTGGAGCTCTAAGAAACTTTTGGGCCCTTCGAAGACGCTCAAATTCATTTCGCTTCTACGAAAAAAAAATTGTTGTCACGTAGATGCGTTTACAAGATCTTTCCCACGACACCAACTTGAAAACAATCTGACCAAAACTGTAGAAGAAGGAAAAAACCGAAAATCACCACGTTAGTATAACACGCTGGGGGATGGCGCCCAGATGTCGCCGACCCCACATCATGTAGCCCCGTCTCTAGGGTTCTTAATTACCCAGCCCCGGTAGGTACATGTCCAGTGTACACTCCTCATCTTTATACAAGCGTTCTTCTACGACTCCGCATTTGCTGCCAGCCAGCCAGCCAACCAGGCGGTCAAAGTGAGATTAAAAGCTACCTTTTTACAAATAAATTTTGAAAAAAATGCGCTAAAAAAGGTGGGAATACACTCACCAAAAATATACAAGTGCACTGAACGTATTTATGTAATTTTTTCAGGTTTTAGAGGTTTTTTATTTGTTCATATTTGGTCTAAAAAAAGGTGGAAATACACGAGCGTCAACACACTTATGTATTTTTGTCATATTCTTTGGACTTTGTTGTTATTTGTTCAAATTTAGTCTAAAAAAGGTAGGAATACGCTCACCAAAAAGGCGCGAGTGCGCTCGTATGTTTAGATTTTTTTATTTGCTCAAATTTAGTTTCAAAAAAAGGGGGAAATAAGCCCACTTAACAGATACAAGTGCCTTCAACGTGCTTATGTAATTTTGTCATTTATTTTATGCTTTTTTCTTGTTTTTTATTTGCTAAAATTTGCTGTAAAAGGTACGAGTGCGCCCACAAAAACGGTATGACTGCCGCCGAATTTTTAGACCTTTGCTTTATTTTTATTTGCTCAAATTTCCTCATAAAAAGAATGCGTCAACGTACTTGTATTTTTGTCATATTCTTTACATTTCTTTTATTTATTCAAATTTGGTTTAAAAAAGGGTCCTAAAATTTAGTCTTGGCATTATTTAGACTTTTATTATTTTTTTATTTGTTTAAATCAGGCTTAAAAATGGTACGAGTGCGTCCACCAAAACGGCACGACTTTTTTTTTCATTTTTATTTGCTAAAATAAGTCTCGTATTTTTTTTTATTTTTTCACTTTTATTTGCACAAATTTAGTTTCAAACAAGTTGTAAATCAGCATATGCATGATGAAAGCGCATTTTTGGTAATACAGATCAGTATTTTTTTTAGCAAAGTTTAAAATTATCGATCATAAGAGTAATCTAACTCAAAATAGACTAGAGCCTGCACGTTTATACTATAGCAGAAAGCTTTTAGTGAAAATTTAAAGTCTCTAGCTATTGTAATTGCTGAGATCTCAGCCGGACAACCAGCCAGGCAGCCGTAACGAATTTTTTTTTAAATGCGCTAAATTCGTGGAAATATGCTCCCCAAAAAGATACGAGTACGCTCAACGCGTTTATGCGACTTTGGTCATATTTCTTAGTCTTTTTTCTTATTTTTTATTCGTTCAAATTTGGTCTCAAAAAATACTCACCATAACGGAGCAACTGCGTTCTTTTTCATCATTTTTATTTGCTCAAATTTGGTGTCAAAAAATGTACCGGTGCATTTACCTAAAATGGTGCCAATACTTACCCTCTTTGAAACATTTTTTGGATTACAAAAGTGCCTGGCGCAAGCTTGGTACCCTCTTTCGAAAATGGGGAGTTTTTTAAAAATAAAAATCGATTTTTATTAGGAACAGTACAATGCTAACGGGAAAAATTCCTCAAGCTGCTTACGCACATTTTGTGCTTGTGTCGCGTCATTGTTTGTGCAGTTCAAGGATGGAAACCAGCATCAAGTTTAAGCCGAGGACTAGGACTTGGGCTATGTCTTACGGCTGGTTTATAGGATCGCTATTATATCCTTGTTTCTATTCATAATGATTGTATAACCCCACCACAAGTGTCTCCATATTTGCATATTTTTGCATATTTATTGCTTCACATTAAATATTGAAGTTTAATGCTTGAATGCTATTGCTAATTTCGTGTCAGTATAGTGTAAACATCTACCTTAATTTGAAACAAAAGAAACTAACTAATTGAAATTTTTGCCATGCTCGGGCGCCAAGGGGACGGACCTAATTCGGCAGGTTTAAACCATGTCATTTTTGTTTATTTTTTGCTGTCATTGTTTGGTGGTTATTTTCTTAAATGAATACTATCAGTTTGTAATAATAACTGAATTGTCTTTGCTAGTTTATGTGATAGTGTCTTCTTGTTTCAGTACTGCAATGGCGGCGACCTCGCCGATTATTTGGCAGGTATGTATATTCTCAATACACAGACATTTTCTAACATTTTATTTGAACCTAATTCATTGCATATTAACCAGATCTTTTAACACACTCCAGGTGCGAGATTACTTCGCTTGCTAATGGCAAATCGCATAAATCTTGTGCATTGTTTCCTAATATGTTGCTATTTAATAAAAATGCTATTAAAGTTTGTAGCAGATTGGTATTCTCTAGCAGCTTCTTTGGTTTCTTTTATATGCTTTCTTTGATATTCTTATACAGTTGAACTGAAATTGGAAAATAAGTATCTTTGTGCCTAAAATTGTCAAATTTTTCAGTGAAAGGCACTCTTAGCGAAGATACCATACGATTATTTCTGATTCAATTGGGTAAGTATCATTTCCGTATTGGAATACGCGTCTAATTCCTTTACTTTAGCGGGCGCAATGAAAGCTCTGTACGCTAAAGGCATCGTTCATCGGGATTTGAAACCGCAAAATATACTGTTATCCTATAATGGCGTTAAACCTCATCCTCAACCGTCGGAAATTAAACTGAAAATAGGTAAGGAGGTGTCAGATTGATTTTAGCTCAGGAGCTCCCTCTCCCTATCTTATGGAGGTGAAAGGGGAGGAGGAAGCATTTTTTCACAATTCTCCTCTTTGATCTCTTGGTATTAGTGTCAATTACATATATATCTACAACGAGTGGGTGGACTTAAGTCCTTAGGTCTTGGGCTAAAATTGGTCTGTAAGGGCTTTTTTAGGTTTTAACCATGTATCTACTTGCAGCGGATTTCGGATTCGCCCGATTTCTGCAAGACGGCGTGATGGCCGCGACACTCTGCGGAAGTCCAATGTACATGGTAAGCGAATCGGCTTGTTTCGGTTGCAACCATCGCCATATCGCAATTTTAGGCTCCCGAAGTCATCATGTCGCTACAATACGACGCGAAAGCAGACCTCTGGAGTTTGGGCACCATCGTTTTTCAATGCCTGACCGGCAAGGCCCCATTTCAGGCCAACACCCCTCAGGCGTTAAAGCAATTTTACGAGAAGAACGCGAATTTAGCACCGAAGTAAGTGGACATTCCTATCTACCAGGGGTGGTTTTCCGCAACTCATTTTTCTAGAATACCCGTCGGTACAAGTCCGGAGTTGTGCGAGTTACTCATGGGTTTACTGAAGAGAAACGCTAGGGAGAGAATGAATTTTGAGCAGTTCTTCAATCACAAATTCTTGAAACGTCCGGAGACGAGTCCTCTGGCAGCGGGTAAGTTTAAGATCAAACCGGTGCTGTCTTAACCGGTTTTATTGTAGTGGATCTTCCACTGCCGGCGATCTACGGCTCGCCACCCGCTCTCACCCGGCTGCCGCTGGGTTCGCCTCCTTTCTCACGAACTTCAACTCGATCATCAACGCCGATTAAAGTCGCAACTCCACCGCTGTCTCAGCCAGGTTTTTTTTACGCGCAGGTGATACGGGGGGAATTAATTTTGACTTTTTTTTAGAATCGCCACGATCCACGCCCGTTGTTTTAAGTTCGAGCCCTGACGATGACTACGTGTTGGTTCCTTCGAATATACCCCTCGATCAGTCCACTGAAAGTTTGCACGAAAAACAGTAGGTGTTGCACGTTCCATTCTTCGTGATAACTTCTGTTTCGTAGGTATAAGGTAATAAATAGGCCAGCAACTCCTCCCTCGGGATTAGAGGCGAGCCCTCCGCGGCCTAGCTACCTGCCGATATCGGAACCGTTGCCGGTGCCAACTCAGCGAGCTGCCTACGAGCAGATGACTAGTCAATCGCGGAAAAGTGAAAGGAATCAAGAGTCTTCAACGTCACCGTCAAAGGTTAGTTTGGTTTTGCTAATTCCAAATAAAAGCGCGATGTTGTTTTTAATTTTTGTTGCTGTTGTAAAACAATTTTTATTGGAATGGAGTTTTTACCATTACTCCAAAATTGGCGTTTCTTTATCAATTTGGTTTTCAGAATTATGCTAGGATTTTTGGTATTTCCTTTCCGATTTTGTAAAACTTGCAAATTTCAAAAATTCCCACACGCAGGGTACATGCTCTAGGTATTTCATTTCATAAAAAAAGTAAAAAAATGTGGATTTGCGCCGAACTCGGCTCGCTCCTTCATTTGATTGAAAAAAAAACAGGTAAAAATGGGCGGATTTGCGCCGAATTCGCCTACGGCTCGTTCGGCGATCGCGGATGTATCACTTTATGCATAACAATTTCTTAGGGACTTCATGTCATAGAAAAAAGTGAACAAGATTGTGCGGATTTGCGCCGAATTCGGCTCGCTCCTTCATTTGATTGAAAAAAAAACAGGTAAAAACGGGCGGATTTGCGCCGAATTCGCCTACGGCTCGTTCGGCGATCGCGGATATATCACTTTACGCATAACAATTTCTTAGGGACTTCATGTCATAGAAAAAAGTGAACAAGATTGTGCGGATTTGCGCCGAATTCGGCTCGCTCCTTCATTTGATTGAAAAAAAAACAGGTAAAAACGGGCGGATTTGCGCCGAATTCGCCTACGGCTCGTTCGGCGATCGCGGATATATCACTTTACGCATAACAATTTCTTAATTTCTTAGGGATTTCATGTCTTAGAAAAAAGTGAGCAAGATTGTGCGGATTTGCGCCGAATTCGGCTCGCTCCTTCGTTTGATTGAAAAAAAACAGGTAAAAATTGGCGGATTTGCGCCGAATTCGCCTACGGCTCGTTCGGCGATCGCGGATATATCACTTTACGCATAACAATTTCTTAGGGACTTCATGTCATAGAAAAAAGCGAACAAGATTGTGCGGATTTGCGCCGAATTCGGCTCGCTCCTTCATTTAATTGAAAAAAAACAGGTAAAAATGGGCGGATTTGCGCCGAATTCGCCTACGGCTCGTTCGGCGATCGCGGATATATCACTTTACGCATTCAATTTCTTAGGGATTTCATGTCTTAGAAAAAAGTGAGCAAGATTGTGCGGATTTGCGCCGAATTCGGCTCGCTCCTTCGTTTGATTGAAAAAAAAAAACAGGTAAAAATGGGCGGATTTGCGCCGAATTCGCCTACGGCTCGTTAGGCGATCGCGAATGTATCACTTTATGCATTACAATTTCTTAGGGACTTCATGTCATAGAAAAAAGTGAGCAAGATTGTGCGGATTTGCGCCAAATTCGGCTCGCTCCTTCGTTTGATTGAAAAAAAAACAGGTAAAAATGGGCGGATTTGCGCCGAATTCGCCTACGGCTCGTTCAGCGATCGCGGATATATCACTTTACGCATAACAATTTCTTAGGGACTTCATGTCATAGAAAAAAGCGAACAAGATTGTGCGGATTTGCGCCGAATTCGGCTCGCTCCTTCATTTAATTGAAAAAAAACAGGTAAAAATGGGCGGATTTGCGCCGAATTCGCCTACGGCTCTTTCGGCGATCGCGGATGTATCACTTTAAGTGTGAAAATGTGTTAGGGATTTTATTTTATATACAAAATTAGTGAAGATTGACGGGGTTTGTGTCGAACTCGCCTCTTCGGCATGCACCTTCACTTGATTGAAAAATAATCAGGTCAAGATGGGCGGGTGGGACGGTAGATGCTTCACTTTCAGTTTGAAAATTTCTTTAAAAAAAAGTAAGCATGAGCAGTTTAAAAAACTGAATAGAAATGATAATAATAATAATCTTTATGTATAAATTCATGTGTTTGTGACTGAACTCCTCCTAAACGGCTGGACAGACAAAATTGTCTTTGTGTGTTCCCGAATGGTTTAAATTCACAATTGGACCTGATTGAATTATGGGATTTACTTTTAAACTTCTTTTTTCGTTAATATCGCACTCTGCTACTTCGCGTACCTATCGATACATGCACCAAGCCACTTGCGCCGATGTGTTTACATTCTCGACGCTGGAAAATCTAGTTATCTATTGATCTTTGGAGATTAGTAATTGATTTAAATACTCATTGTCATTAGATATAATTTCTATGTACGCACAAATTATAGCAATTAATGATTTCTGCACATTGATTTATGACGTCAGCTTCTTTGAAAAACTTTGAAAAAAAATCCGGACAATCACAAAAAGGAAATGTCTACAACTCGTTCTTTTTCCAACGAATTGAGAGATTCGCTTAATTTCGCATCTTTCTCTCAATGTAGGGCAGTAGTTAAAACGTCATTTCCTCCACTTTTCTCATTTAATTCACACCTACGAGGCCGTTTCTGAACAGGAAGGATAAATTTAGACAGTCTTAAAATACTGCGTACCCTTTATTTTCGAGGCCGTTTACAAGTAGTGGTATTATAAGCGTCGAGAGAATCACTCGGAATTTCTCTCGGAACTCTCCTCCTCGCTGCTCGCGAGCTCGTCGGCGCATTGGGCGAGACCCTGGGCGAGGAGCACCTGTTTCAGGTCGGTGTACTCGGGTATCTCGGGACAGTTCTCCTTGAAGATCTTGTCGTAGCAGCAGCGGATATCTTGGAGGTCCCTGAAAGTTGAGGAGGGTTTAGAGTGGTCGCGCTCCGCATTTTTGGGACGTACTCGCAGAGCTTTTGCTTTGATATGGTAGTTGCGGTGGCGTTCTCCCCGAAAACCGTCGACTCCTTGTAACACTCGCGAAGGGGATCGAGCTCGGGGTTATCGCTCATGATTTCGTCGCACTTGTTTTTGTATCTCTTCTTGGATTCGGAGACTGCAATTGGGGGTTGTAAGCGCGAGGTTGGGAGAAGAACTGCTTACCGGTTAGCAACTCCATGAACTTGCACAGGTGTTGGTTGTAGTCGCCGTAGGTGGTAATGATGAACGGTTTCAGGTACTCTTCCTCCGAAGAGAGGCAGGGCATTATCGCGTCTACTGCTGTTAGCAGATACGTGGTGAAATTTTTGGCGTTAGTCACGCAGTAGTTGTAAAACGCGACCCCGTACAGGTTTTCAGTTGGGGGCGCCACTTGCCATTGCCTTTGGAATGTGTCCAGAGCGTCCTGAAACAGAAAAACCTGTATCCGGTGCCGTGCAATGGCCCCGTTACTATCGCCTTTTCAGCTTCCTCTTCTCCGGCATTAGCTGCGCACTTGGACTTGACCAGATCTTGCAGTCGGTCGTAGAAGTTCTCCTCGCCATCGTCATCCGCGCTGATACAGGCGGCTGAAAGTTAAGGGTAAATTGGCAATTTGGAGCCTGCGGTCAGATACCGAAGAGCAGCACTATTACATAAAGCTTCATTGCGATTTTAATTCGTCTCTGACACAATTTAGACTGCGACAGGCGGGCTGCGAAATAATACTTTTAAGCTGTTGTTAAAAAATTACATGACTCAATTGTTGAAGGCGGTAATTGCCAATTGTGACTATCATTGATGCCACCTTGAAATTTTCATTTATTGAAATTAATAAATGAATTGCTCACTTTTAAATATGTCTCATTCTTTCTCACCCCTCTGAAAGGTATAGGACTACTTTCTAATAAATTTTTATTTATTGAGATACAAATAATACACTGTTTTTAAGATTCGAAACATGGCGACCTCGTGGCGTTCAGCAGCCCTCCTTCAAATTGCCACCCTTGCGGCGATTCTGGGCAGTGAGTGCGGAATTTATGCTCGTAACACGCGTAGATTATCTCCAAATCTCTGCAATTGCACGTCATTTTTTTTCGGGCAGGCTAAAGACTTACTTGCACAATTCTTCTTTGGTGAGGGGCGTTCCTTTGAAATGATCGGTTAGGTGAAGGGCATTGAAGCAGGTGTTGTGGGGATTATTGTGCAGATATTTTTTGAATTTGTTGAGGCACTTCGACATGTTGGAATCGATCAGGCCCTCGACTGAAAACCAACTCATCAAAGGTTAAGGGCGAGATTGTTACCTGTTAAGATCCGCACGTGCTCGCAGAAGTACTCCAAGTACGCGGCGAAGCTTCTCATTACGAATTTCGGCAGGTACTCCTCTTCGCCGTGCAGACACGGTTGCAGAGCGTCCATCAGCTGTTGCATGCACTGCAACACCTCGCGCCTGGCCACGAAGCAGTGCCTTTCGATTTTGTCATCGTGCTCATCGTGGTGCTTGGGCATAATTTTTCCGAGACATCCCAAGAAATCGCCCAACTTGTGCTGCATTAAAGGCTTTTACTACGTCTCAAACACACCAAACGTACCATGAGCGTCTCCAAGTAGTCCAGGTCCTGATTCCTCAGGCATCTCCTCTCAATAAACTGTCCAACTTGATAGCTGAAGGAATGGGGATGCTCCACGTCCGCCTGTATTTCATTGGCGAGTGCGGAGAAGCCTAAACAAGGGGCGATCAATACCCTCCCTAATCACTAATATTTTACCAATGATAGCGACGAGCATCAGATGATTCGGTTGCATCATTTTTTGGGACTGCACTCGGGATTAGGCTCACTTAATAATGGTCACTTAAAATTGAGTGAAAACAGGATACTGTAATTAAGTGTCTAAATTAATTTTTGTTTTGCTCGTATTGTAAAACTGTTGATAACCTTCGTGTATGGGTTCAACATGAGTTCTTGGAAGCAACAGTTTTTGCTATTATTATTGGTGATAAGGTTTGAGGAAAGTCCAAGAGGACGGCACTCTCGAGAGATCGATCATTTCAAATCGAGCACTACAAGCTCGTTTCAGTGTTGCCACATTTTCTTAGTTGGTGCTATATGTGTTTAATGACATGACGATTAGTTTGGAGTTGTAGAAAGTGCCGTAGTGGCTACCGTACCTGGTTTTAGAGAACACCTGCCTTGTTTCCTAGCGACGGTTGACATCATACAGTGTAACGGATATCCTAATTTCGGTGACCGTGACCCCGCTCGCCTAGTGTCGTTGACCACCGATTTCCAATTTTTAAGAAGGAAACACCGGAAAAACCGTTTCACCTACATTTTTAATTTTTCCGGCTGCTTATACCACTCTGTCTGCATTTGTAACCCCTTTTTTCGCCTTTTATCCCTTTATCTTAGCTATTTTTTCCACACGTCTTTTTTAAGAGGGAAATTTTCCTTTCCGATTGCGGGATCTTCTTACGCGTCGGGTACAGTAGTTCGTTGTATAATCACAATGTGCACAATTTAATTCCATTGAAGAGTTGTGTCTTAACAGATGGCATTTTAAAATATGTTGAAGATTTGTTACAAAATTGCAATGTTCACATTTTAAATCTTTTGAAGTATTGCGTATTTTTAAGCGGAAAGCATCGAAATTATGAAAAATTAAACAAATATAGCAAACGAGCTCCTGGGTATGGCTATAGCATCTGCAAAACCAAATTTTAAACCTGATGTTAGTTTTGCTTTTATTTAAAGTGTATATGTATGGAATTTCATTTGAATGCCTCCATAAATAAGCTGCGCATGCGCAAAACCAAATTTATATTAATTCACGTTAATTAATTCGGAGGGGTGTGCATAAAAAATTTCAGAGCCTTCGAGACACTTTTCCAGAGAAATTTATCGCTATCGCAGAGCTCTTTTCCAAATATTTCCTAGGGGGAAACAAGTACCATTTTTTTTGGTGTGCACCAAAAATGTATTTACGTTAATTCAAAATAATTCACATAAATTCATGTTAATTCAGGTTAATTCAAATTAATTCACGTTAATTCAAATTCATTAACGTTAGTTCAAATTAATTCACGTTAATTCTAAACTAATTCACGTTAATTCAAATTAATTCACGGTAATTTATATTAATTCACGTTAATTAATTCGGAGGGGTGTACATAAAAAATTTCAAGTCAATTCCAGAGCCTTCGAGACACTTTTCCAGAGAAATTGATCGCTATCGCAGAGCTCTTTTCCAAATATTTCCTAGGGGGAAACAAGTACCATTTTTTTTGGTGTGCACCAAAAATTTATTAACGTTAATTCAAAATAATTCACATTAATTCACGTTAATTCTAAACCAATTCACGTTACTTCAAATTCATTATCTGTAGTTCAAATTAATTCATGTTAATTCAAATTAATTCACGGTAATTTATATTAATTCATGTTAATTAATTCGGAGGGGTGTACATAAAAAATTTCAAGTCAATTCCAGAGCCTTCGAGACACTTTTCCAGAGAAATTTATCGCTATCGCAGAGCTCTTTTCCAAATATTTCCTAGGGGGAAACAAGTACCATTTTTTTTGGTGTGCACCAAAAATTTATTTACATTAATTTAAAATAATTCACACTAATTTATATTAATTCACGTTAATTCAAATTAATTCACGTTAATTCAAATTCATTAATGTTAGTTCAAATTAATTCACGTTAATTCAAATTAATTCACGTTAATTAATTCCGAGGGGTGTACATCAAAAATTTAAAGTTGTTTCCCCCTAGAATATTTCTGTACTTAGAAATCTCCAAAAAAATTCCTAGAGCCCCTCACTACTCCAAATGACATATAATAGATAGGATGGCTAGATAGAATCCCCAGAGCTGTGTAGACTTATATACTCCACGAGCTCCTGGAGTTACTTTTATGGCGTTGTTATTTATACGTTTTGGAGAAAAATGCAAAACTACCCCCAACAGTCCTTGGGGAGAACGTAGCACGCACTCGACAATCATTTTCATGGCAGTCTTTGGGAAAAAGTAATTGCATCTTAGTGTGCTGAGGGTTATTCGATACCCCCCCCCCCTGACCCCCGGTTCTACATTCTTCCTCAAAGCGTATAGTTTACATGTCTTCTTTTTCTGGGGAGTTACTTTTTTGACCCCTTTACAAAAATTCTGGATTATGTCGCATGTGACCTGTAGCTTTTGGAGATGAATGTAGAACTGGGCAATAGCGTATAGTTTACATGTCTTCTTTTTCTGGGGAGTTACTTTTTTGACCCCTTTACAAAAATTCTGGATTATGTCGCATGTGACCTGTAGCTTTTGGAGATGAATGTAGAACTGGGCAATAGAACGAGTTAGTGCTTCTTTCACAAGATCTTCTTACACTGAGGGGTATTCCATACTGTGCTATAAAAAAAAAAGACTTCATGTGTTTTTTTTGGGCGAAAAACTTAAAATGGTAAAATGAAAATTTGGAAATATTCGCTCGCCTAAGAGTTATGGGGGAAAATCAAAAAATTGCCAGAATGACTCCATATTTTTTTATTTAAAAGAGATACTGAAAAATGTTTCTTACAAAACTTCTTTCTTTATAATGATTGTTATATGATCTACCTTTTTCAAAGTAAGTATATCAGGTCATGTAAAAATTTCATTTTTTTAATGGAACACCCTGTATATTTTAATCTAAAACCATAGCATATTAAATTCTCTTTTCAAAAATGTAACATTAAAAAATTTTTTTTGAATTTTTTTGGTTTTTTGAATCATACGAATCTTTTTTAAATTTTATAAGAAACATTTTTTAAAATTTTTGAATCTTTTGAATGTCATCCTCTGTGTGTTCTATTTTTAAAAAGAGAATGTATATGCTATATTTTTAGATTACAATATACAGGGTGGATACACTGCCTTTTTTTGAGGCCCCAAGGAAAAAATTGTCTCAGATCGACCCGGAAAAAAAATTTCTTATAGAACGTGGCCTGTAGAATCCATAATTTCAAACAGTTCCAAGATTGGGTTACTAGTTCCAAAGTTACAGCCTTTTGAATTTTCTTTCGAAATTGCTTTCTAGTCCTTAACTTTTGATTGACAAGTCTGATCGAAAAAGTACGAATTGTTTTGGATTCTACGCACCAAAATTAACAAAAAAAGTGTTTTCCCGAGAAATTTTGGTGCAGTCGATTTTTGGTAAAAAAGGAAGGTTATACACTGCTTTTTTTTGAGCCCCGAAAAAAAAATTGTCTCAGATCGACCCGGGAAAAAAATTTTCTTATAGAATGTGGCCTGTAGAATCCACAATTTCAAACAGTTCCAAGATTGGGCTATTAGTTCAAAAGTTACAGCCCTTTGAATTTTCCTTCGCAATTGGTTTCTAATGTGTTAAAGTAAGGAAATAGCAATATCATAGTGTGTGAATGCATGTAAGTTTTTTTGTTTAATAAAATAGTTCAATCTTGTTTTTTTTTTTGGTTTTTGCAAAAGAAAAAAGAGCGACTAATTTAATGTCTCCCTAGGAAAGTCCAAAGTGCGCAAACTCTAACTGTGTCACCCAGGTATTAATCAAGATGTTTATCCTCGAAAAAGCCGTTGGCGGTCTCTGCTACTTTTCGCTTTATCGCCAAAAAGTCAAAAAGTGCGTTTTCCATACCTTTTATCCCATCCTGCCCCTCACTCCGCGACGAAAGGTGGTTTCTTTGAACATCATATTTCCAAATTGAATAATGAAAAGACATACCCTCTCGAGTGGTTGAATCATTACACAATGTTTAATTTAGGTCACCACCAGTAGCGTTCCTCGGTCAGAACCGATCAGCATGAAACGCTCGGAGCATCGATCAGTCCAAAACGACATCGACATCAGCTCGCTCTCTCCACCATCGGTAACACTTCCACTTGCAATTGTCCACCAACTCATTTGTCCACCCCAGGTACAGTTCGTGATAGGAACACCACCAGGCGGCCGTCGCAGATCGACAACGGGCAGCCTGTGCGAAACTCCGCCTCCCAACTTGTGGCAAGTCTCGCCGGTTCAGGGCACCTCGCCGCCGATTCTCTCCGGTCCGCTGGCGCGAGTTCCGATCCTTAGCAGTCCGAATTTGGCCGACAACAATAACCTGCATCAGTCGCCGATTATGCCGTTCGGAACGCGAGCGCGCACCCTGCCCGAGATATCCGAGTTGGGCAACTTGCAGCCGCTATTCAGCGATAACTCGACGATAATCGAACGTCCGGTTACGTTCTTGGCGCCCGAGCTACCCGAGGAGACGCTTTTGGAGGTAGGGGTTCCGTGGTGTTTTTGTGTTGTTAATGGCGTTTTCAGAGGGAGCACAATGAGACTTTGGCGAAAATTAACTTCGTACTGGCGCTCAGCGGTTGTGTCCTGGATCTGGCGGCGGCGAGAGCTTCGCCGTTACCCGCGCTTGTCGATGAAACCGCAATGAAGACGCAGCCGCAGACCGACTCCGGCCGCAAAGCGGAGCAGTTGGTGTTGTTGGTACGCGCACTTCAACTGCTCAGTTCGGGGCTATCGCTTGCCACGCAACAGTTGCAGTGTGGCCAACTGAGGCCTAGCAGTACTGTTAAGCAAGGTAAGCCGCTGTAACACTCCTTTCGGTACTTAAGCTAAAATTGCAGTGGTTTCCTTGCTGAACTCCAAATTTAGGTCGACCTTAGCGGAGTGTAAGCAACTAAATAGTACCGGTTTATTGACGAAAGTTGGATCGACCAACATCGCAGCCGATAAAATTTTGTATAATCACGCAATACAAATGGTTGGTTGATGGCGTAGTCGACCACATCTAATTTACCTCATTTCCAGTGCCAATCGGCAGCTCTAGACGAACTGTTTGGTAATCCTGAGGAATGCTTTCAGCGATATCAAACGGCCCAAATATTGTTACATAGCCTTTCTCAACAGGTTCACAACCAGCAAGATAGGGCTTTACTTACAAAGTGTACGTATGCACCTCACCTTGTTTCCCCCAAATTACAGGATCATAGACTGTTATTTCATCCTTTTCCATCTTGTTTAGATAAAGAAGCAGTTGAAAAGCGACTCTACGTTCTGCAACAGCAAGGTTATATCTACACAACTGATCTCAAGTTGAGCGTCTAGCCGAGTCTTTTTATCAGTCCATTAGCGATTAATTACGTACGGTATCTGGGGTTTGCGTGGAATAGCATTGCGTCGTCTTAAAGACAATTTTACTATTTTTTATCGTAATACTTTATTTTACTTTGCTTTACAACTGAAAATACGATAACCACGGATTAGTGTTTCACCGGATGATTTTAGGTTTTTTTTTAGTACTGGAACTTTTATTTATCTTAGGGCGTTTCCGAGAAGAAGCTGAAAATTGACGTTTGGAGCGAATTAACTTAAGTATGCATGCAACCGTAGTACTAGATCTGAATGGTGTGGTGATTAAATTGAGAAGGTAGTTTTAATTTTGTAACATTGCCTCACTGTATCATAAAGTGATAGAATAAAAGTCTGTAATATTAGGTACCTAAATCCCAATATATTATTAGAAGATAGTGATCGTTAATTTCTTTAATATTTATTTCCATGTGTAATGATTTCAACTCTTGACAAGTCATTCTTTGTGAGATCCAAATACGGGTATGATTGTGGAAATTTGGTTCAAATGATCCTGTTTATCAAACAATAAAGTGTAGGTAGTTGTAGTCAACTTTTTATTTAGTACGTAGTAATTGTAACCCTCAAACAGTACCAAATACTTGTAGTACTTCGAGATTTTAACGTACCTGGTATTTATTGTACGTTTCGGTTTTGTGCTTGTTGAAAGAGTTGATATTTTTCAGTATTCAAAAGTTGAATGTCGCAAAACGTTTTATCTGTAAATATTGTATATTATTAAATCCTCTTTAGGTTTACTAATGTAAAAGAATTGTAAACTAATAAGCCTAATATATACTTATACTTGAAAATCGCACATTAAAATTGTTGTATATGACGTTCTACTCATCTTACTTTTGTTTAAGGTTGCATCATTTAATTATTCCCTTACAGAACACGGACGGACGGACGGAGAATTTGGGCAATGAGGTGCTCAAAAGCAAATTGGCTTATGTGCTGGAACGTTGCATTAAAGGAAAGAAACTTTGAAATGAAGTTCTTGATCACACGAGACTGAAAGAACGATTGCACTATGACGAGGTAACCATAAATCGAGCTATTCTCAATCGGTTCGAGACCCGGACACTTAACCCCAACAGAATACATCCCCGAATCCAAGATGGCAGCGGCGTCTTTCAAAACGCACATTTTGATGAAACAACAATCAAATCGGATGTCCATATTTATCTTCGGTGCGGCGGGCCTTCGAACTATGGACTTTTTCTCGTGAAATCTGGACATTAATTCAAAATCAAGACTGCCACATACGACAGGACATACTTTTTCGAAGAAATACGCTACGAGGGGGGGGGTCAGAAATGTATGTAAGGATGCGGGTATTAGATCCTCACTCAAAGGATACGTGTCGTATACCGTTACTGAAAGCAAAAGTGGCCAATTTTAGTGCTAACAAATATATATCCGCATATCAAAACTACGTAAACTTTCGTAGAGATTATTACGTTTACGTATTAAGGACGAGCAAGACGCTCTGTTGGGTTATTCATATTTTAAAAGTTGTCCAATCTTTGTAATGGACTATTGAAAACAAAACGAATCTCTGAAGCATTCAACGGTAGATGTTAGGTTGGAAATGGAATCGATGGAGGCCTTCGAGGTCGGAACCGTTGCTTATTGTCGGATCTTCCACGAAGCCTTAGTGCAATACAATCCTTTGACTGGAAAAGTGAAGGAAACCTGTAAATATTGTATATTATTAAATCCTCTTTAGGTTTACTAATGTAAAAGAATTGTAAACTAATAAGCCTAATATATACTTATACTTGAAAATCGCACATTAAAATTGTTGTATATGACATTCTACCATCTTACTTTTGTTTAAGGTCGCATCATTTAATTATACCCTTACAGAACACGAGCGGAGAGAGAATTTGGGCAATGAGGTGCTCAAAAGCAAATAGATTGGTTTTGGCTTATGTGCTGGAACGTTGCATTAAAGGAAAGAAACTTTGAAATGAAGTTCTTGATCACACGAGACTGAAAGAACGATTACATTATGACGAGGTAACCATAAATCGAGCTATTCTCAATCGGTTCGGGACCCGGACACTTAACCCCAACAGAATACATCCCCGAATCCAAGATGGCAGCGGCGTCTTTCAAAACGTACATTTTGATGAAACAACAATCAAATTGGATGTCCATATTTATCTTCGGCGAGGCGGGCTTTCGAACTATGGGCTTTTTCTAGTGAGATCTGTACATTAATTCAAAATCAAGATGGCCACATACGACAGCCTTTTGTTCATAGAAGGAAAAATTGAATGGAATCGGCCTCGAGAAGAAGGTGCGTGTAAAGACATGTAAGCTAACGAATAATTTTGCAGCATGCTTTTTCGAAGAATGCTACGAGTTGGGGGGGGGGGGGTCAGAAAATAAGAATCCGGGTATTACAAAACGTTCAGATGATTACTTTTACGTATTAAGGGTGAGGGTTTGATTATTCATATTTTAAAAGTTGTCCAATCTTCAAAACAAAACGAATCTGAAGCATTCAACGGTAGATGTTAGGTTGGAAATGGAATCAATGGAGGCCGGAACCGTTGCTTATTGTCCGATCTTCCACGACGCCTTAGTGCATTACAATCCTTTGGAGAGGTGAAGTAACTTTAGTTCATATTTTGAAAATGTGCTTTCTAGTATAAGTAAATAAATTGTATTGTCAAAAAGGGGCCTAGTTTTATTTTAACCAACCAAAATGAAGGTAGTGATGCTTGAGTAAATACTTTCCATTCAAAATTTAATCAACCTAATTCAATGTTTATTGTTGATGACATTGCTTGTGCAAAACAGAGTCAAATTAGAGCGTACTTTTCAATGGACAGACATAACGCCATCTAGGTATTGCTTCTACTTAGGTCAAACGGACAATGTCACACCCCTAATATAATTCAGCTGTTCCGGGAGATGCGTTCATAAAGCTGGCAGATCACATATGGGTTTATGGTGATTAATAAGGATGCTGAAGTACGAAAGGACGTTTTAGGAAAGGTTTCGATCATTATATTATAATACAGTAAACAATTATGTATGGATCAATTGCAAATAAACGGATTATTAACTAACAGGTATGTTTACTTATTTACCTGTTCCCCGGTTCTATTGTCTGTGTACCTATTCTATCCATTTGACAATCCGGATCATGGATAACAAGGAGATGGCATTGAAACGACGAACAATTTAAGCCTGTAAAGCGGTACAGCAAAAATATAATCGTCTTAAAGCGGATCGGAACTGGAATTTGTGCAAACCTACAAGCTCCTAACCCAACTACTATCTCAGATCGTAAAGGAACTCGAACCGCTAGTGGCAGGGCCTAAAAGTGAATTACCGTCCAAACGCCAATCTCCTCCAAAAAGGAAGTCACCACTACGACGGTACTCCTTCGATACCTTATATTTCTCGCGATTGAAACGTAGAGCCCCTTCTCTTACTGATATTACTCCACTCGCTAGACTTCCTTATTTTTAAAAGAGATCCTCCAACCGGTATGAGTCCATTTGCTCGACTGTCATATTTTCAGAGAACTCTTCCAACAGGTACTCGCCTATTCCATCAATAAGATCCCAGCCATCATTTACATTTACATACATTTACTGTGATAGGAGAAATTCAACCCGAGGAGGAAGACAAAGGAATTGAATATTTTCTCAATATAAAACCGTATTAAAGTGTGGATAAGTCGATATACGATCGCCACCTTTATGAGCGGGATATAATGTCGCAGAAAGCAAACTGGTTCGTTATTTTTAACATTAATAACGGCCCGCTTTAGCGCAACAAAATGAGGTACTTTTATGTAAGTGGAAACACCACCCATTGGAACATAACCGTCTGCACTTACTTTTAATTGCAAGATTTTACTAACTACGAACCAGATCCTTCCTCCTGCATTGCTTCTAACTTTGTTCTCAATTTATCCAACACATGGGTGTGATACCACTCCTTCAAGTTGCTACCAGAGTCAATAACATTGTTTCTAGTGGCAAACGGTTTTTTTTTCATTCTATATTTAGGTTTTGAGGATTTACAAAATTGCAAACCATGATATTAATTATTCGTGCAAAGCTATCTTGCGCGCGTTGCAAAAATATTGTTAAAATATCTTCTTTTTTGCCTAGCAAACTTTGTCTTGGGAATTATTAATAGCGCCATTTCTTATTAAAAACCAGTGATATTTACATTTTTGGAATCAGAAAAAAATGCTCTATCAAATGACACCAAAAGTAAAATGACTTCCACAAGGAAAAACAAAGTAGATGATAGTTAACCCGAGACGAAATGTCAGACTTAAAATTTAAAACTATCATTCTTATGGAGGGAAAAAAGTGGCCATAATAATGACATTTATATTTCAATTTCTTTTTATATAACTTTGGTCAAAAAATAAAAACGGTTTTGCAAAATTTTCGAAAGCAGTCGGAATTTGTTGTTTCAAAGCGGCATTTTGTTAAGCATCAAAATACGCAACTTTGCCAAATTTAAACTACCTACCTATCTTTTACAGTTTCCGAGATCGCCATGGTGGCTCTCGAATTTGAATCAGTCTGTATATTGAACAATCGTTTCGGGCCGAAAATAATGTTAGCGAATCAGTATTATATTACGGATCTGCATATTCGTAAAGATCCCCGATTTTTTATTGGTTTTAGATTGTGAACGCCTCGTCAATTCTCTTTACAGACTTATTCCAACGCCGCGCCGCACCTTTCGGAGGAAATAAGATCCCCAACTCTACCACCACTTGTGGCAATGCCGCCGCCGCCGCCACCACCACAAGTAAGTGGCTAACATTTTACATAACTGTTGTATGTAATGAGTGTGTAATTATTGTTGCAGTTTAAAGGGAGAAGATATACAAGCCGTGATGCAAATGTATCAGGCCGAATTCCAGCAGCGGTTTGCTCCGTAACTTCCTACTCCTCCAGCTGATTCGTTAATGGTAGCTCGGAACCGTACGATACGACTTGTTTCCGAATTGGATGCCTCGCGCGAAGAAGAAAGCTGTAGGCACAGAGCTATTGCAATGTATGTACTCACTTTATTACTTCTTTTCCAATCTGCATTTGATTATTTTACCTACATTATTTTTGTCAACTCGTACGACAACATTGGCAAATTGTAATTTTACGCCGGTACGGTATGTTTGCATACAAAGTAGGGTTTCGAGACCCATCACATAACAGTATTCAAACAAGATAAAAATTCAGGAGCCATGAAAAATAATCACATTTGACACATATGCAAACAAATTCAACAATTATATCCCCCTCCCCCCTCTCATGAAGCAAACAACAACGTCTGACTCATCATACAAGCCTATAACAAGATCGTGTTTGAATTCCAAAGCCACCTTTCTGTTAACTACTGTAATTACCTACCAGGGAAAATTTTCCTGACGCGTATTTACTTACGAACCTTCGTTCTTGTACAATTTGAATTGCTGCACCGCGAAATTATTTCCAGTGGCGTAGCATGGGTTTCTCTCCTTAAATGAAATGCATAAAAGCGGGAATAACGCACAATATACAATGCTAAGATGGATAAATTGAGAGAATTTCTAATAAATTATCGCCTTATGGCCATTTTACATTGTCTTAGGCGCGGTATATAGAAAGCCATCGATGCGGCGGGCAACTATGATAAACCGTTTCCTTTACACCTTTCCGCATTCCCTAAACATTTTTCCTATAATAACTCATCGAGACGACCTACAAACGATTATTCAGCCGAGAAAACTTCGAAATAAAAGAGCTTTAAAGTCAATGTTCCATACGATGACAAATTGCACCATGAAATGATGTAACCTACATTATTATTCTAGAAAACGATTTTCCATAAAGTAGGTACACCGTGAATAGCAGGGCTCAGTGCACATAAGGAAGCGAGCAAGAAGTGACATGCGACATATTGAATGTTAATCGTTTTCCTGCCATTCCATCTACTACACAAAGAACGACGCGTTTTTCCTCTTTTTATTCTTTCTAAAGCTTGTTACTGAAAAATTTTATTTGGGTGCTAAGGAATTATCCGAATGGAAAGCGACGAAAGGCACTTTCTCGCGGATAATAATTAAATTAGCATCTCGGAAGGTATAGAATTTTCCGAGAGCCATAAAGTATGATGGTGCTGTAGATAGTGAAAATTAGTGGTGGATGTGAAATACAATTTTCCATCTGCGACTCTGAGATTATTTACTTTCTTAAAGACATAGTGACTAGGCAAATTGAACGTTAACAACAAAATGTGTGAAAATTATCGCACAAAGATTCTTCACCGAGTTTTTTTTAGCAGATTCCCACCCCTGGAATAGGTAACTCGCCCCTCGTCCGGCGTAGACGAGCTTACAGTTGAGATTCGAGAACACTCCCGTCATTAGGCGTCGTAACTAGTGCGGTAACGGTTATTTACCACCCTCGTGACCGTCTATTCAATGCCAAAAGTGTTAGTTTACAAAGAATAAGTTCCACATGCTTAAAACAATGATCAAAATTTATAAATTGAACTTGGACCAAGACCATGTAATCGAAATATAGGATACATCTCAAAGAAAAGGTTAAAATCATTTTTCATACACGGGATGCATTGAGGTTAACTCATGAAAAAATCAAAAACAAAGATTGAAAATTATAAAAAAAACATAAAATGTTGCATGCAAACACTTAAATAACATAAAAATAGCAATAAACTTTAAACTGCATGACGCTTTCGTGACGAAAATTAAAACGAAGATGCCGGTGGTGCTCTAGACCGCGTAGACAGCTTTCCGCTTTTAAAAACTGCGTCGTTGCCAGCTCTAAAAATGTGCGCATCATCGCAGGTTGTACCGGGTGACCCAATAAGACTGTTTCTTGGCCATATCTTCGTCCTATGACTTAGGGGTAAAAAATTATTGGGTAAATCGGTTTTGAAAAATATTTTCAAGTTCTAAAAATGACAACCAGAGGGCGTAACTGCCATTTTAAATGTTAAAATTGCATTTTCATTAAATTTCGCATAATAAACTAAACATTATTTTTTCACATTTTTAAAGACAAAGTAATAGTTACAAAGATGTAATAAGGGAGTGATTACCAAAATGTTTATGGGAGGGAATAAAAAATATTAATAATGGCGAAATTCAGATGTGGAAATGAGGGGAAAGGGAAGGAGAAATAATAATAGCATATGTGGAGAGGAAGAACACATGGTGTTGCAATTTCAAGGATCTGGAAAGGACCGGAAGCAGGAGCGAGAGAAGCGGTTGAGGGGAAGAAAAATCTCATTTTAGCTTTGGTTATAGTTTGAATTGTAAAATGCCGTTTTGGCGTCTAATAATGACTCATTGACTACAACAAATGCAAGATGGCGGCGGCTCTTTTGTCAGATTCAAGAAATCACAGCGACAACCCAAATGTGCAGGATCAAATTCCTACGGGTGGCGATCCATTGAAATACAACACAGTAAATCGGAAAATCCAAAGGTACATTTCTTCCTGAAGAATTCAACATTTCGCTGATATAATGGAAGGGGTGCGATGCAGATAAAAACTCGACCGAAAAGGAAAAAATCTTTTATTACAGACAACCCCGGAATACGAAAATTAAAGTGACCAAACCAACCCTAACTTTGTTAAATAAACTAAAACCTGCAGACCGCTCGCAGACGTCTACAATATTTGAAACTCGTTGGTCGGAGCGTCCTTTCGTACCGAGCGGAGCTTTCAGTCGAAGCTTCAGTAAACGGCGTGGCACCACCCTGCTCGCAACGCGCTCGCCAGCACCCCTTATTTCACGATTTCAACAAACCTTCTCTATAGTTATACTTAATTACTTGTAGTACAAATTTCACAATCACAGACCCCTCGCGCGATTTTTATTGACTCTCGACCAACCCCTTTCTCACCTCACTTAATTAACGGTGTCTGCATTACTGCCCATTAATATTTCACTTTCTTAAAGAAAATATTAACAAGAATCAAATACAAAATGAAGACCTCTTCGTTTTCGTTGCGAGTTATGCGACGGGTAAGCTACCTGTTGGATGTTGTGCTTTGCTGTTTTTAATTAATGATCAGTTCGTTGGGTCAATATTAAGCTGCTTTATCAGTGTGCATTGTTTAAATTAGGGGTGCCGAATTCTTTTTATGCAAATGGGGACAATTTGTCGCAGGTTAGGAAGTGGTGATGTGTTTTTAATTAGGTACATTGTATTTATTGCTAAGATTTTGTAATAAACTAGTAATAAATTAAAGTTGTGCTTTATGTGCTTATGTGCTTTTTTACTGTATTAAATAAGGGCGTTTCTCGTTATGTCACCTTCAGAGATTTTTTTAACAAGTTTTAATGAAGACTTCATCTTATTGATTGCACTCTTTTTATAAAGACACGAAGTCTCTTTGGAGACCTACTGTATAAATCAATTTTTTTCCTCCTCTGCCCTCAAGAGTTTTGTTATCCATTCTTTTAGCAAGACTGGACCGGAAACAAAAAAAGGTGCAATAAAGTTTAAGGGTTGCGCGGAAATTGATGCTGAAAAGGATAAGAAAGCTGTTGTTTTCTGCAAGGCTGACTATAAATTGTATTTAAATTCGGTGGCGATTTTATTTTGCGAGAGGTGGTCATGGGAAATTACCCCAACGAAGCGAAAATTGGATTTTCAATATGCCACGGGAGCATTTATTTTATTTGTGGAAACGATGCCTCAAAGATGAATTCGTTCACCTTATCACACACCAAGAAAGACAAACGTTTCTAACTTTTGACGTTTCAGGAAAGTGTTACTGGCTCATTTAAGTAGGAAACCGATTTTTGGCAACGAAAGTACCGTATGAGGCCTGCTGCTTGCTACTGATCGACAATGAACGTTGATCGAAAACTTATCTAAAGCAACAGGTTTGCTGAATGAGAAGATTTGTCGTCGGAACGCGTTCAGCAAAATATACGTCACTCTTTTTTGCTCAAAGTGACATTACTAAAATGGCTCGACCATTCCAGTCAAAATCCACTGATCGAGACTTTCTTCGTGGAGCCAAGAGCTCCCTCAAATAAGTTTGATGAAACATCTCTACACTTTGCATTGAATTACCAACGCAGGGGTTGTGTCTGAAACACACAGAAAATGACAGCTGTTTCTTTGCAATTTATAAATAATGCCTATATTAATTCGAAAGAACTGATGACCATTGTCAATAATTGGTGACATTAGAGGTGCGGCACACAACGGATGTAACTTGAGTTATTCGTGGATGGCTTGTGGTGGCAAGAAAAAGGGAAAAAATGCAGGAGAGTATAGGAGGACAGAAGTGCGTAGAGACAGATGGAATTTGGAACAATAGTAGATCGAGTGGAAACACGAATCGAGACCGGGACAGGAATAGCAAGGTGTCTTCCCCCAATCTTATTTCTCATACAATTTCAAAAATTTCTTGATTCAAAACACACCAGTATACGACTCCAACTTGTTTAATTTGGTATTCTTTCCATTCCAATGTGATGATCATTAAAAGAGTTATTCTTTATTCTAGTATTAAATTCTACTCGGTGGTAGCAGAGGACGTGCGGATATGCTACTTCACGTGTCAATCTTCTAACTCTAGCACTTTGTAAAATGCCTTAAGGCCACCAAAGCCTTTCAAGTGGCTTCAGAAGGGTTTAAAGACGTGCGCTTAGCCTTTAAGAGCGATAAAACCTTTTCTAGGGTTGTACAGATTTTTAGCTTAGCCTTGAAAAATCTCAAGTGGTCTCAAAAGTCTTCAAGCGGCTGAAGAGGTTTTTAGTAAGTTGCCTTCAAGAGGTATTAAAAGTAGTTTTTTGAAATGTTCTTGAGACTTTAGAGCTTTTAAGAGCAGTTAGAAGCCTTTGTTAGACGTTAAAAGCCTGTAGGGATTTTTTAAGAGGCATTATTTGGTCTTAAGAGTATTTAGAAGCCTTCATAGGTTAGGGATTATGGCCTCAGAAACACCGAGACTTTCGAGAGGCTATCTTCTAGAAATTTCTAGAATATTCTACGGTTTTCAACGGTCATTAAGTAGAGTCATCTCCAGGTA